TAGTTTACTTTTACAACATAAGGGAGCTACCATTTGATTTTTATGGGGGCTAGTATGAAATTTGAAAAAATAGGCAGGACAGGAGTTTTGAGTAAAAAAAAAGGCAGGATGAGATTATTTGCCAAAAAAAAAAGGCAGGGTGACAATTTATGTAAAAAAAAGAGTCAGGATAAACTAAAAAAAAAAAAGGCAGGACCGAATAGAGGGAAAAATAAAAAGACAGGACAAAATTTTTCATCCTAGCCTCCCCCCCCCCCCCCCCCCCCCCCCATAAAAATCAAATGGTAGCTCCCTAAGTCTAGGAAGGCAAAGGGGAAGTTTTTAGCACATAGAACGAGTATATTCCCTTAATTTGGGCTTTTACAAAGACAGGCTATCTGGACCATGTCTTATTCGTTGTTGTCTGTTTGTAGGATTATTTTGTCTGCGGAGTATAGTGTTGATACAGTCTGTTATCCTTTTTTATGTATCATTTGACGTGTAACAACAATCAGATAAAGGAGAGGTATAAACAAGCCAAAACTTATTGTCGTTGGATTGCTGTCTCGTTTTTATATATATCCCGTATTTCCTTCCATAAAATTTACCATTGGACAGTAAGCAACGAACAATCAATCAATCTACTAGTATTTATAATCATGCTTCTTTGGAATACGACCGTTCAAAATGATCTGTTTCTTTTAGCAATAAAACAATATACAGATCAAATTCTTTTGATGAAAGAAATATATCTTGAAGCAATTCTCCTATTTTATTAAAATATTTTTACAATAAAGTTGTCAACTTAAAGGGCAAAAATTAACAATGCAAATGTGTTAAATTAGCTTTTTTAAAACCGCAAATGAACCATTAAAATGAGTTGACAAAATTCATAATAGAAGATAAAACATTCGATCAAATTAAAAACTGCAATAAAACTTCATCCAAAAATAATAATATCCGCTGTCATTTTGCCTTCCAATGAAGCTTGTCACAAAACTGTTTATTGATACGTCTGCTAATAAAGTCTTCAATGTCCGCCGCCGGCTTATTCAATGTAGCTAAATCATACAATCGAATTTTAGTTCAGTTTATTGCATTGCTTGCACTCACAATTTGAACTTCATCATTGTCAAATATTGCTGAAAGGCGAAACTATATTAATTAATCCTCACAAATTTTCATTTTGTACAATAACTGCAACACTTTTTCCAATCAGATCGACAAACATTGTTACCCAGAGGGACACCGAATGGTAAACGTTTGTCGTCTGCGCTGATCAGCTGCTTTCGGAATCGTCATTTATATTACTTTTTACCTTTTCTATATTACGTTTTACCAGTAATAAATTCTGGTACTAATTCTTCCCTTGAGAATATTATCTGTAATATGAAAATTAAATTTGTTATTGAGAAAAAGAAATAGTTTGACCAAATCTCACCCGAGATCGGGAAAAATCACTTGTGGTTTCATTTTCATTTCATACTTTTAATTTGATTAAAATAAGTGTCAATGAAACTGAAATAATATGAAAAATACATTGAAATTGGTGATTGATGATTTTGTTTTAATTGTAATTGAATGATTTTTTTTCGCACAGGTGACTGATGAATATTCTACGATCAAAAGCGATTTTTGTAATTAAGGTACAACGCATTAAAAGTACAGAATTTCTACCTAAATATTCTCCAATGGTTTGAAACTCATCACTGAAGAAAGAACTCATTGAATTTAGATATGTATCTAAAATATGAATTTACGTGTTTGTCTCTCAAGACGACGGTTACAAGTTATGGACCACGAAGGGTTGTCACGTTTAGAATGTACTTTCGCAATGACTATCAAATTTGCAGAGCAATCGAATACAGTCACTATCCTTTTGCCATTAAAACGTGAGATATACCAGGCTCTCTCAGACTAAACTTTCTTTAAAATCTGTTTTGTCATATTGTGAGGTCCTTTTTGGTGGTATAGAGGGGGTCATGTTTTACTTAAATACTTTATTTCTTGAAAAAACAATTATTATTTGTTTTTCAAGGAAAGTTTCTTTTGAAAATAAGTTAAAAAAAATAAAAGCAACAAAAATCCCTCCCCCTTATAAAAAGATGGGGGGCTAGGATGAAATTTGAAAAAAAGTCAGGACAGGAGTTTTGAGTGAAAAAAAAGGCAGGATGAACAACTTGGCAAAAAAAAAGGCAGGATGACAATTCATGTAAAAAAAGTCAGGATAAACAAATAAAAAAAGGTAGGACTGAATAGAGTGAAAAATAAAAAAGCAGGATAGAGATTACAACTAAAAAAAATGCAGGACAAAATTTTGCATCCTAGCCCCCCATAAAAATCAAATGGTAGCTCCCTAATGGTCACACACACTGTTATACCGTTCATGTTGGAACTCACAACCTTTTGCCTCCGATAGTTATAAAGTTGAGAATAAAATTCCATTCCATGTTATATATTCAAAACATACTATAAGTATACTGAAAACTAGACTTTTTATTAAACAATTTCGTATTTCCAACAGACATAACTACATATTCTAGAAGTAGTAATATTGAAAATGTATTTTTTAAATATATACTATTTCATCTTAAGTGTTTATCAAATTACGATTACCCTTTTGAAAATTGGTGACTATGATAATGTTGATCTAAGCTATCACATTAAAGGATGGCACAGATATAGTTGTTGAAGTTTGGTGACTAATGATGATCACATCCGTACAATTGAAAATGTATTTTTTAAATATATACTATTTCATCTTAAGTGTTTATCAAATTACGATTACCCTTTTGAAAATTGGTGACTATGATAATGTTGATCTAAGCTATCACATTAAAGGATGGCACAGATATAGTTGTTGAAGTTTGGTGACTAATGATGATCACATCCGTACAATTGAACATTTCAACATTGAAAAAAAAAATCAAAACCCGAAACAATGACCGGGGACTAGGGCTTATTATTCTGCTAAGAAACAGAAATGCATAGATGCTACTGCATCATCATACAAAATAGTATGTAATTGTCAAATTGTACTTTATAAGGAGCAAAATCATCTTCATACAAAATAGTATGCAATTGTTCTTTATATAAGGAGCAAAATTAATCGAAAATCACTATGTCATGTAAAAATCAAAATTCACTGAAGCATGGTAGAACTCATAGTTTGCTAGTCACAGATACATATGGATGCTAATACTCTACTCTAAGCAAGGTCTATCATACTATCGTGATTAAAATACATGTATGCTAATACTATGATATATCAAATTAGAATTGTCTATTATTAATAATACTTATCTTATAGCTTACTTAACTGGAAAATAAGACATTTTGTTTAAAAAGAATAAAGTTACTGAAAAGATCAAACATATGTCGCCCTTCTAGTCAGAGATTACTCTGATGTCCAATAGCATTTTGGGGGGACTTGCTGGAGTCGTTGATCCGGGGCAGTTAGATATGAGAGCAATCTCTTTACTATCTTCCCTCACTTATCCTTTAAATTTTACAATTTAGAAACTTCGACCTTTAGAGAGGATTGTGACCAAGTTGTTTTCAATTGTTCCAGTGGTTTCAGAGAAGATTTTTCAGATAGTTTTCAATATTGTTAGACAACTGACAGACAAATAAATGCACAGCTATTTATATAAAAAAGCCAAAACTGGTTCAGATAGCAAAAATGGTGAAGGTGAACAAATTTTATTTTATCTTTTTTCTACATATTTCTGAAAACAAAAGAATGAATGAGTCACTAAGATAACACACCATATTTACATTTTCAAAAGAGAAATCTCACTTTTTTCTCTCAAAATAAAAAAAAAAAATGCCAAAAACACTCTGATTCCGACCAAACACTCTCTGAAACTGAAATCATCAAGATGCTTAATTATTTGACTGACAATATATTTGTTATATCTTGGAGGACATCAAATTAGCATGTCAACACTGAGATTGTTAGTTGAAACTCCACGTGTATCAGGCAGGTTCGACTCAAATCTTAATTGAGTAGGATTGCCAGTTTTCCTGTCAATGGTCTTTAGTTCTCTCCGGGCACTCCAGCTTCCTCTGTTTATAAAAACTGGCTGTCCCGATATAGCCAAAAGTGCTGTAAATGGTGTTTTAAAAACACTAACAACTAATCAATCTATAAATCAATAAACAATAATCATTCTCAAGGGAACCAACTGTGCTTGTCTTTTTTTCCCCTTAATTCATATGAGGCAGACTTCATACGAGAGCTTCTGAGAAAGAATCAAAAGATGATGATGGATGGCTGCTTAACGCCCAGTGGCAAATTAATATGCATATTCAGGACGAGAACATGTTAATGTAAGAATCAAAAGAAGCTAGCACTTTCTTTTAACTTCAAGTTCTACCAACTCATTTTTATGATCATGTTGAACTCTTCTACCTACCCCATTGAACTTGAAATAAAGGATACTACAAACAGTCAAGTCTGCCTCATATCTTGACATATAGTACATCTAGAAATTGACAAAGAGGGTCGGTTGAGAACAAACTTAACAAGAAAAGGAATGATTTCAGCTTCCCAATTGTGAATTTTCCATTTCTATGAAGCAACATTCCAGCAGCACCTGCATATGGAGAATATATCTTCATATTGATACAACATTCCACAGCTTGCTTTTCCTATGATCTCCTTGATACTGGATTTCTGCTTACCAGAAAGCTTTTTAACAAAGGATCCAAACGGTAAAGTTGAAATAATCCAGTTGAAAATTTTACAGACCCAATCATGAGTTGGTTGATAGTTATGGTATATCTGAGTCAAAGATGACCACCGATATGTTCCAATTGTGAACAGAGCATTGGTTTTCTATGTAATGTTTTTGATGACTTGTTTGTGTTTTTCTCATCTTTCACTTTATGCCACAGCATTGTCAGTTTCTCTTCGACTTTTAAATTTTCTTTTATATCTCCCACCCTCTTTTTAAAAACCCACAGAATAATAAACTAAAATCATGCAATATCATGCCATAAATTGATAGCGACAATAATAATTTGTAATATTTTATTTCTGTTTCATATTACACACTGATATATCATTGGGTTTAATATGGGGACGGAATGTTAGGATAAACATAAATTAAGGATTTCTGAAGTAAATATTTTTTTCTACATAATTAAACTTAAAATTAATGGTTATTTCCCTTTATAAAGTAGCTATGGGAGACAATTTGAATTATCTCCCTTTCATTTAAATTGCTAAAGGGAGGCTATTTACTTTAATTCACTGAATAAAAGAATTAATAGTGCTCAAATAAATAATTCAATCAGATCAAGTAATATGAGAAACTTCAAGATAATATAATCAATCAAAAAAGGTATAGGATTGCAGTTGAAGACATTGATATAAATAAATATATATATATATATATATATATATAATATATACATGTATTGCAAATTAAAAATATGTAAAAAGACTCTTAAATATTTAAAAAAAGACAATCAACAATAAAATAGCAATAAGATAATATCACAAAAGGCAAGTTAATATTTCTACAACAAATTAACAAAAAAATTTCACAACCAATAATATATAAAGGCAGTAAACATCTGGAATCAGCACAAATAGCAAAAAATTAAAGAAAAAATATTCTTAGTTCCTCAATTAAAATAATATAACATTATATAAATGAAATGGGACAAAAAAAGATTGGAGACAATAGCACCATGTAGACATTTATGATAATTACAAAAGAGAGAAAAGGCTGTGTTTGGATATACGCATAATGCAGCCTATGGTTACCATAGGTACCTTTGGGTACCCATGGTTTGATATTTTAGATATCTATGGATAATCATAGGCTGCCTAAGGCCTACACTTATCCAAACACAGCAATGGCATTTCTAAAAGCCTGTCATCCTGACCCAAACTAATACTACGTTGATAGTGTCAGGTGTAATACGATCCATGTGACCAACTATCAGCGCTGAACAGGAATGAATTACTGGGCATGTGCATGTTCTATAAGCAAGGAATATATCGATCGGATTGTTAATTAACTGTTGATTCAAGATGTTTATCAATAACATTTGGATTATACTTGCTAAATTTTTCGCAATTTGCATTTCATATGAAATTAAAAATAATTTTCAATAAATTCGTGGCAATATAAATATTTCCTGCCATGTGTCAAGAAATGATGCTATCCCACGATGGCTCTACTGTCGAGCAGTGAGCCAGGATCCCAGGCTACATTTCTAAGAGTTGACAACTGGCAATGGCATTTCTAAGAGTTGCCAGCCCTTATTCATAGAATTAACAATTTACCTTGTAAGATAACATATAAAATATGTAATTATAAAGACATGAAGAAATGTACAGATATTGGAAAAATATGAATGGTCATTGCAATTTCAATGAAAATATAGTTGACCATAAACATAGTAATGCCAATGTTACAGACTTAACCATACATCTCTTGACCAGATTTCTTGCAAATGGTCACTTCAATTTGAATTTAATCAAGAGCTATTTAAAAAAAATTATTTGGCATTGAAATCAATTGTTCCATGTACAAACTTGAATCAGGGACTTTACTACTGATGAGGGTCTCAAATGGGATTTTGTGAATGTTAATGTTAACGTGAAACAAACAAACAAAAGAAAAATAATAAATTGGCCTAAAATATTAAAGCACACAGAAATGAAGACCCCCATTCAGACCCTCTTAGATCTATCTGATTTCTTTATGAACCATTTTGGTTCCAACCCATAAATATGAAAGGTCTTGATAATACTAATATAGAAATGACCACTTGAGAGAAAACTGATTAACATTTGGAAGGTTTCTGTTGTAAAAAGGTGAAAACTGAAGATCTCAATTACACAAAAAAATGTATAGCACAAGGCAAAAAAAGACTTTGAAAATAAAGGGAACAGTATAAAAAAATACTGCCATTATGAAATATACAAAAATACCCATCTTCCAAAATGTAAGTAAAAGATAAAGCACATATTGCAATTCATTATATTGCATCTAATTTCAAGAAACATGTGAGACTTAGAACATGAAAGTTCACTGATATAAAAATAGTAAAAAGTACCAACTATACACACATATATATGATCATTATTGTTCTTACCAAGTGAAAAATCTAGAAACACTGTGTAAACTCAGTTACCAGTTTTATTCAGGGGAAATAAACCTTTGTGATTAATAGTTCATTTGTACTTTCAATGGATTCCTTGCAGAGCTCCAGTAGGGTACTCCCCTTAGTTCTGAAGGTCAGGTTTAAGAATTGCCTCAGGAAACCAGGTCATTTTAATCACTTTTGATTGTTTATCTCTAACAATAAACCTGTGTCAAAGGTCACAGGTCCTTTTAAGTGTCAGGTCGCAAGGTTGCCAGACAAACCTATCAATCACAGGTCTGATCTGACCATGCTGGAGCCACCCCTTGTTCTAGCATTAATAAATGTTGCATTATTGTGTGTCCCAATGAAGTCAAAAGTAACGAAGCACTGTCCCCATCTGCTATTTCTTGGATTATTCAAACTGTTATTCTTCTTCAATTATTGTTCCTCTGCTGTTTTCCATCCCTTATAAAATACATGTGATGTAATCCCTCCCTCCTAATGCATAATTGTGGCCCTCATTTATTCAAGAAATTTTGTGTCCCTTCTGTTCTTCATGAAGTAATGTCTTCTGACGAGTCTGTTCCTCTGAGTTTCTTTCTTAACACTGTCACCAATCTTTCAAGTCTGAAATACAAAAGATACTGTTCATGACATAGCAGAAAAGTTTCAGCATTTCTCAGAATTGTGAAGTAACTATTCATCCAAATCACATGGTTAGAAAAAATATCATATCAGTTAAAAGATAAAAGCTATGTGTAATATTCACAATCAACCCTAAACATCATTTAGATGAAATACTTGCATCTATACAGTAGCCTTTTGAAAATCAGTTGAAAAACCCGACTCTCCATGATGTACAGTGAAAATCAGAAAACCAGCAGACAAAGTAATAACTCTTCATATTTTACAGTAGAATCTCTATTTAGAAATTTTAGTGTCAAACCCACAAACTTTTACTGATAAATATTATATATTTTGGGTTCAATGAAATGCCTTGAGAGACAACACCTAAATGGCAGAAGGTAGCGACTTCTAAAGATGTGTTCTATCTAACAACAACAAGGTGTTACTGGTAACTTAGTCTAGTTCATATCCTTTTGATAATAGCCAGTATAATAAATGAAAATTTAAGACCGGAAGTTTGAAATGTAAGCTACAGTGATCACATTTTGCTACCTTTTTTTTTAACTATCTGATTAAGCTTGCTTTGATATTCCAGTTAAAAGTTTACAAATTATTTTTTCAACAGATGACAAATGGTATCCATATGAAAGAAATATTGTGATACAAACTTTTTTGTTATCTATGGTTTGAAACTTGCACTGATAGAAAAAGAAACTTAACCACAAACATTTTAAGCAAAAAGAAAAGTGATTGTAGGATTTATAAGTTAGGAGCTCATCAATATCTGAGTAGAAAAAATTTTGATTATATTTTGGACAAATACGTTTAATTTTTGGGTACATAATAAATTTGGTCAATTAGAAAGGTCAATAGCCTTCTTTGAAAAATACTTATTATTTGGTCTTTAAGAAAGGTAACATTTTAAAAGTTAATTGACATACATTTGGCTTTTGAAGAGGATGTTCGGCATACAATTGGATTGAAATGAGGATATCATCGAGTGTTTAAGGTTACACCTCTATCGTGTCTCCGTGATGACTTACGAACTTCATTCACAGCTGGACAATTGTTGGGGGTAATTATAGTTTTAAAGGGAGATAACAATATAACTCTTGCAGAATAAATCACCTATTGTTGTTAAAAGCCTCCCATTACCGATACCATTAGCCACCAAACAATCGTAAAATATTGCCATTTAAAGATCAAGCTACCATTCAATAAAATGATTATAAATGGTCATTTATAAAAAAATAACATTACAGAGGACCGTGACATTATTACTTGGGTTTCTTGAGTAGAGGCTAAGTGTAGGGCTCAGGTTTTTTTATACAATGGTTTTTAATCTATGCAAGTTTTAAGACAGTTTTTCAAGATCTGGAGTTTTAAGGTTCATAATAAATCTATACTATTTGGAATAATTTTTGCTCCTAATAAATCATATCATTGATGTTGCATCAGCTTCAAAAAAGTGCTTTTGTTTGGAGGCATTGTACTTCAAAGTGTTGGGAAAAAAAAGAAAATGTAACAGTTTTCACTTTTGTTGTTGGGTTGCTTTTTCAGTAATGCATATTCTACATGTCCTTTTATAATAGATATAATGTTAAAAATTGTTGTACTTTTTCTAAAGTTTTGTTCAAACTATAATGTAAATCCACCTAATCAATTGAAAATATTAAAGTTACGACAAGGTTATGAAGGTTATACCATACGTCTACAAAACGCTTCTTACTTTTTAATTTGTGCTGCTGTCTCTTCTAGTTTTCTGTCCCGTTTATCAAGATCTGCCTGTAGTTGGTCCCGCTGTACAGTGGCATCCTGTAACTCTGCCACTAACGTGTTATTTTCCTTTAATTTTGATTGGTTGACATGGAGTGTGTTGTTGACCTGATGAATGGATTCCTGGGAGAGGGACTTGTGGAGGCTACAAAAATATAACGTAGGGAGGTGTGACTGACTGCTTCATCAATTGATGGACTGATTTTTTCTGATTTATTGATTTCAATGAATTATATGTACAGTCAAAGTGGTCTCCAAAACTTTAAAGTAAGATTTGAAGGTCCCTTTATAGTTTCCTTTTATATTTTCAACCATGCAATAAAAAACTATCTCCTCATTAGGTAATTATTTATCAAACTCAAGGAAGACTTTTCATTCCTGAATTGACTGTATTTAAGAAATAAATATGATTAAATTTTTGGATGAATAAATATAAAGATGATATCACTTTAAAATTTGATTACAAAATCATTTAAAATAAAGACAATCCACAAAATAAAGGGACAATTGAAAAAATTAACATACAATTCCCTCCAAATACATCTTTCTATCAGATCAAAAATCAATATTGTTTATTATGGAAAAAATCCCTTTCCTAAATTTTTTTTATAGCACCTCATCTTTTTTCAGTGGACTGGTTCCTTGTAGAAAAAGATATAATCAAAAGGAAGGAATGATTCTTATAATTAAAATCCTGTACCTGTAGTAAATGCGTATTGTCTCATTTTCATCCTTGAGCTGTCTAACTTTCGCAAGTGCCAGTTCGCGCTCTTTTTTAACAATGTCCAATTCTGCCTGTAAACAAACAAAAAATTTAAATAAAAGATGGCATAAAATTTACGATTCAAAAATAAGATAATGTTGGACATAAAAATTAACAAATGCCAACAAGCAAACAAACTGAATCTCAATTAATCTCAACAGCTTCTGTATTAATTATGAGTAAATTTATGGTTTGTATATTATTCATTTGACGACTTGTGTGCATTCAACAACTTTACAAAAAAGAAATGCTGAAAAACTTAAAAGAAAATTGGTTTTTTTTTTACTTAATATTTAAAGAAACACTAAAAAAGTCCAATCTTCATGGATGTTTTTGTGGTAAAATTATCTGTATACATTGTCAACAGTATTATGCCGCTAATATGTCTGAGTGGCAAGGGAAGTAATTTAGATAAAATCTTCTTTTAGTTTATGATACTACGAAGATTTTTTATTTCAAAATCTTTCTATATCCATATTTGTGTTGTGTTGGTACCAAAACGGAAAGATTGTATATTTCAGGATTTTATCCCCTGTACAGAGATCTACTTGATCTGCTGCCTGGTGTCCTGGTGATGTGGTCTGTTGTACTGCAAGGTATTTTTTTATTCTTGTTCTCCCTTTTCAAGTGTAATGAAATTTTAAAACTTGAACAAATTATCTTAAAAATTGTTGTTAAACGTCATTAAGTATCATTTGTGCCACACCAGAATGAGTTTTTTGAAAATTCAATTACTTTATATCGTGAAAAAAACTCAGCTTTTCTGTACTCAGTGAAAAGAGAAAAAAAGGGAATTATTTTAATGATTTCAACTTTTCAACAGGAGAAAGAAAAAATCCATAAAAATTTTAATTATCACCTATATTTCATCGATTCACAAAAAGGTTTTTGGAGTAGTAAAAAGGTAGATCTATAAGCCATTCAATATTTATATATAACATTCAATGTACTTTAAAAAAAAATCTTTTGGTGTAAGACTCAGAAAAAGAGATATGTGGGCGGATGAAATAGGCCTCTTTAACTGTAGATTTTTCTTGGTTTTAGACCATTATTGGCACTCAATGTAAAATAAGTTCAATGTCGTAACGGCTATAGTAGTCCAGATGTTGGCTTTGCAATTGAAAAGAAAGGATTTATAAAAAAAAACAAAGATCCTATATTGCTGGTTTTCTTTAGAGGTCAGGACACTTATAGTACTTATTTCTTATCAAGCACAAAATCAATGTTACTGAAAGAAAGGTATAATTTAACTACATAAATTGGAATTAATAATCTCAATGACTTTGTAAAAGGTTTTTCAAGTACATATGAATTTAGCACACTTTAAACAATAAACATTCAACTAAATATATACCATACTTTTAATATGTAAGTGAATATTATTACAAAGATTTTATGGGTGGAATTCAGCATACCAAATTTGATGGGAAATGCACATTTAATTAACCACTTTCTTAACATTTTCAACATTAATAAAGTAACATATATGACTCACTGCCACCAATGTTTTGTAAAATGGAATTTTTATGATGAATAATAATGGAGTTTATAAATAATAACGGAGTGTTATTAACTATCTTGTGATATAATTTAGCTAATCTATTAATACAAGTGTCAGGTGACCACCATAACAACGAGGTATACAGCAGAAAATCCCATCCAATGTCCATTTCATTCCATTATGTAAGACGGCCATGATAATTATGGCAGGTAGATCCCTACATTACCGATCGTAAAAAGGCCAATCAATGGCTACTAATCCATGCCTCAAATTAAATGGTTTCTATAGATTAAATGGCATCATAAAGAATTTACAACTTTTATTTACATCTGATAATATTGGGTCTATCTGCATTTGGTTAAGTATTAAAACTTGGAAACGTATTGGAATGGTTTTAACAATATACGTGTCTGTCTATTAACAAATCATTTGTCTACCATTATAAATCACCTGTCTCTCTTCCAATCAGTATCGAGCAGATTGTCAGACCTAAACAAGTGGTTTGGGTCAAGCCCTGTTAGTTTACGCAAACAAAAATACAACAATTCGAACATGATGAATTTGATAAAAAGCTCGGCAGAACAAATATACATAAGGTAGATTTAACAAACACTCAGCTTTGACAAACGAGAACGATCACCACCTATACAACAAGTTTTCCCAGGAATTTTAAACTTCATTAAAAATCATATGACGGGACAAATGAAAAGTAAAAGTGATGATATGTAAACAATCAGACCACCAACATTAGAGAAGTTCGTTAACATGATACTTTTACTTTATCTCGGATGATTATTTAAGTCATCAATGTTATTTACTTGTTCTGTTTGCCAGCGAGATGTGTTCACAAGTTATATACAAAACATATTTACCTAACGTGTATGGAAGGCCAATTTGTGTCAACACTCGTTAGCTTGTACTACGATCTATTGGCAAACACTGCTTTAAACATTCGGCAAACAAACTTCATTCATTACTCCTCGAGTATAGACAACATGATAATGGCCTCCAAAAGTTTTATTTACTTTTCAATTGTGTCGTAAAATACCGTTAAACAAAGTTGTCATTAATTCTCATATAATTTACATATAATGTTCTTCTGTCATTTTAATGATATAACCTGTTATTTGTTAATTCTACATTTAAATTTCATATAATCCCTCTAACAAGAAACAACCTTTAGGCACTTTTTTTTCCTTCTTTTTTTCTTTAATTAAATGTTTCTCATCTCATTAATTTATATAAAATAAGTTAAAATTAAACTTATCCTAAGAATTCAAGTTTTTTTTTGGAAAATTAAATGGAATCAAAAAATCAAATGAAAAAACTTTTGAATAAAACTAGAGTTAAATTTAAACTGTAAAATGCATCACTTGGTCATAAACCGCTTTACTCAGCATATCTATATCAATTAATAATTTATTTCCAATCTGTTTTGGAAGAAAGTGCAGCATCCTATCGTCTTTAATGTTAGTAAATTCTACTATTATCTGCCAAAACATCGTAAAGATATACCATGACCTCCAAAATACAAAATACAAAATACCTGTGATTACTCCAAAAAACCTGATCCACACAAATCTATGAAAATCAATCACACAGAAGCCTGACCCAAAACAAACTTACCGTGGGGAAGGTGGGGGTGTGGGAAGTCGCACTGGCTGGTCAGAGGATGAAGACTATGTTAGAAATAAAACATTTTAATCATGTCTTAGTAATACTTCATAATCAAAAACACACTAACTGGCTTTAAAAAAAATTTGATATTACACTGTAAAATCGTTTTTAAATTATAGTTATTTTTTTAAATTTTCTTTCTTTCTCTTGTGTATCATTTTACCTATAATTCTGTTTGATGCATACAGTTTTCAACCAGAATGCAATTTCACTGAGTTTTTGTGTACTGCAAATTTAAGTATTTTCACAAATTATTGGGATTTGACAAGGAGTTTCATTTTTCTACATTGTACACTAGATTTTCTTTGAAGTAAATAATTTTCTACATTGATAATAATACCAAATCTGAATAATACCACTGATGTCACTGAATTCTAAGCTTATAAGTGACTGGAGAATTCCCTAATTTCATGTATACATTTTTTCAAATATGCTGGTAGTAATTGTTCTCAAATTTCAGATAACAAATGTCAATTTTCAACTACAAAACCCTAAAAAAAAATTTCAAATTCAGACATGGAAGTTCACATGTACTACCGTGTACTAATGTCCAAATGGCAAATCATGTATAGCTATTAATTTTGTTGAATATTGTATTACTGAATGTTGAGTGTGTATATATAGATCATCTCTGAGGTGAAATTGAAAAATAAAAAATTACGAGAAAAAAGTTCACATGAGTTATAAATTTCTTCAAAATTCATACACATGTCTCACCCTATAATTAATTTCAGCAACATATTGAGGCTTTAAACTACTCATTGATGATTTTATCCCTCGGTAATAACTGATAAGCAATCATATAAAAATAAAAGCTTGGTCCAGATGACACGTTAAATAGTTTGATAAAACAAAACCCGTCATAAATAACTAAATCTATCAATATTTATTGAGTTAATAAAGTTGTCATTTGATAGATGACCATTTATTATCTCAGGTAAATCTTCAGGTAAAACCACCACAATCACGTAATCAATGTCTTGTCTTTATCAGTCTTTTCAAAGATTTCTCCACAAAATTCTCCTTTTATCAAATTTTCAATATTTTCAATTTTACAAATTATCTGCTTTTATCTTTATAATATCTCTAATAAAAGTAAAATAAAAGATTTATTTATATCATTTTGAAAGGGTTGTGTAAAACACTTGAAAGGAAAATGATAGAGTGTTTATTTTTATATCTTTAAAAGATATTTTCTTCAGATTTATGTTTGTCTTTTACTCTGCAATTTTTACAAATACCTAAAATTAGTCAAAAGTAACACATAAAAATCACATGACTGTGGATTCATTATTATCCCTAAGATCCTAATTTTCATGGAATTCGTGGGTATAGACGAACCACGAAATTAAATGTTAAACGAAATTAACATTTTCAATAGGCTTGTACACAGACTGTAGCAAATCCACAAAAATACAAATTTTCCTCAATTCATGAAAACTGGTATCCATGAAAATAAAAAAATCAACAGTATGTCAAATATATTGTTTCATAGAACCAACCAAATAGCTTTCAAAGATCATCTTCATTTTTGGCATTTTGGAAAAGATACAGTTATATCTGGCTTATTAGAGAAAAAAAGATTTAAGCAAAATTCATAAGAATCTAAATAAATGCCTGACATGACTTATATGCAATACTTGCAACTCATTTAAATTTAAAAAAAATAGTTTCAAGAAATTTTCCTTTGCTTACATTTTGTACCAATTTTTAAACAAAAACACCAAGAATGTTCTTTTGTGTGCAAAAATAAACTTTGACATCAGACTTTAACACAGGTATTTTTTGGTATTAGGACTAAGCTGGGTTTAAGATAAGAGGTTTGCTTTGTATGATACTTTAATTATTTTGTTACATCACACAAGTTTGTTTGGTTCATTATGGATAACACAATGTGTTGTGTAACAGACGATCTGAGTTAAGCGACAGTGACAGACCCAGAATTTATAAAAAGGGTGGATCCAGGACTGATCAGGCGCAATTATAAATTTGGCATTTAAAAGGGAGGGCAGGCATTCAAAACTCAGAAAAAACTGTATAAAACACATAATTAAGTGACAAACTTGGACTTGGACCCTGGAGAAGAGTCTAAGAAAGATATGATACTGATATGGTTCATAATTTCATGTTTTATTTAATATTGGGCCAAAATCTTGAATTTTAAAAATCCTGCTGACACATGACTTTTTTTCAAACTTCAATTCGATAAAAGTTTTGTTAAAATTTTCCTGATTTTTACTGATAAAGATTTTTCTACATAAATCAACAATTTATAGTCTCTAACTAGCTATGATGTGATGAAATGGCAGTAAACAATCAATTATCAATCAATTTATTGTAGTAACAAAATACTAACTCAGCTATTTAAAAACAATGATTAGCAGACACAGGGAAAAAATTCAAAACTAAGGAAGCGATAGTGCCAAAAACAATGGAAAATAGCATTGATAAAAACCTTTCAATGAAATTTCAAGTACAGCAATTAATAATAATTTAGGAAGAAGGAAACAATGCTTTCTGGAAAAATAAAACATTTTCCTTCATTTTTGCATGGAAACCCTAAATGGCACAAGATTGATTGTCAAATACCTATAGTCATACTTTGGATTGGTTTTAAATGGAGAAATTTTGACAAGTTTTTTTATTTATACATTGTACAGAAGAAAAAATTATTTGTTTTAGCTTATATCAAATCCTTTTCACCGGGCATTAAATATCCAAATTCAATTTAATGTGAATACGAAAACAGCGACCGATCCAATAACATAATCTGCCTCAAATCTCCAATATTTGCAGAGGATTACATAGTAAACGGCTGACATTTTCTGCATTGTTAAAGAATTGTTCATAAAACAAATTTATTTGGAGTAAATAAGCTAATGATTTACAGAGGGTTTAACTTCTCTACGGAATACAAATCTATTCCAATCTGAGATTTTTTATGATTGTCTAAATAATGGAAACATGTGTTTTGGCGGATTTCTATGACAAATTTACAAGATCAGTTAAGGAAATGAAGAAAGGTGTGCAAATCTTTTATTTTATTAAATTTTTAATTTAACACTTGAAAACACGTGTGAGTTTCTATATCTAATACACGTAAGACTTTTCAGGTTTAACCAGATTTATTTTCATCAGTTTCAGTGATAGATCACTTTTACTAATCCACTAAATCCTAAATACTTTTGCATTCACATTGAACCCTGAAAAAATCTTCCTCCATTTTAGAGATCTTCCAATAATTTCTTCCTCAGGTAAAAACTATCTGTTTCTTCCTGATAAAATTTTGGTTTCTTTTTGTAAAAATTCCTGTTGAATTTATACTTACCAGAAGATTTTGTTCTGAGTTTGAATTGTTGAAAGTATCTTCTCTTTGCCTTTTCATCAATTCTTCTTCTAACTTTCTAGCCTATAAATAACATATAAATGAAACAATAAGAATATTGCCTGAGGATTTCATTGAAAAAGTAAAACAGTTCAAGATTACCATTTTTTCTTGTTTTAACAAATTTTCAGACAGTCGAAAAAATGCTGAACCTTACAAGAGAAGACATTCAACTGTTAACTTTTTCTTCTTCTTTGTATAAGCTTCCCATGGACAGGAACACCTCTACTAATATTAGAGTATAAAAGTAATTTTGTAGAGAAAAAAAAAACACTTTTTAATTTTTAAACATGTTTTCTTTGGAGAGAGATCTTTAATGAAGACTGTCATGGAACCTTATATAAAAAAATATGTAAGCAACTATATTTGTACATTAAAAAAACACTCAAGTGAAACAGTTTGATTCAGGTAAACAGCTAGATCTCAAATGCATTTTAGTAATTTTGATTTCAACAACTTAATTTATTTTCAAAGCTCTTATACGAATTGTCTTAAATTTTTCACTTATGTGTTAACCATTTAACAGATATTATAAATGTCTTGATACCTTAGCCAGGGCCAGATCTCTTTGCTCCAAAATAGCCTGCATCTCATCAGAAGCAATCTCTCTCTGTCGCTGTTTCATCTGTTCTAGTTTTTGTGCTAAGGAATTATATTCATGTACATTTGGGAAGTCGTACTGACCAACTCTGGACATTAAATGGTCAAAATTCTGAAAAAAGTACAAGATTTGGTTTAAATTACAGAAAATGTTTTACTGGATATACTTAAAGTTCAATCAATATGATATTAAAAAAAAATTCAAAATTAAGTCCACCAGAATGACCAAACCAATAAAAGACAAAGAAATCTGACATCACAATTCATTCGGAAAGCTAAGACAAATGCAAACCACAAATTGATTAAAAAGAAATAAACAAGTGAAACTGCGAACTACTGCTCACTGATGATACCCCTGCCCAAATATTTCGGTAAACAGGAAGTTGTTGAGTGATGAATCTGACACTATAGCTGACTTATATAAACCCTGAAACCAAATTTCAGAAATCCTTGTATTGTAGTTCCTGAGAAAGATGCGATGAAAAATATTCATGGGCTGGAAGGGCGGACTGACAGATGGACAGACAGAGGTAAAACAGTATACCCCCAATTTTTTAAAGCGGGGGTATAAAAACCTGTACGAAAAAGTATAAATCAAATTAGAGAGATATAAATATACAACAATAAGAGAAGCATATAGTAAATTCTGGCCCTGGTTCACCAAACATAATAATAAGTTGCTCTCATTGCTCTAATGTTTATGGAAATATATCATATGGAGACCAGTTAATACATTTATTTTGGCCTCAGAAGTAATACAGGTCAAAAACTCTTCCTGGCCTTGGTACAAACTGGATTAAGAGGAATGTTTTTAAGTAAACAAACAACTTAAAAATAATAAATTTCTCCGTCAACCCAAACAAAATTAAGGACTAAAAAATCTGACATTATAAACACAACAACTGAAAATTCAAAAAATGTTTTGTAAGAAATCACAATAAAATCTGGACCATATGAATGCTTTAAAGTAGACTTTCTCCCGACACGAGCTTGTATGAGGTAAATCTCTACAACAGAGATTAAAAAACCTTGGGAGAATTTAACAGCTTGGCTGAAGATAAAACATTTGTTTATAGATTTTTTAAGAGCTTATTACACTGCGAATTGTCACAATTTCCTTTAATGTGAAATACGACTGACAAATAAAAACGTAACAATCTTCCATATCAAAGGCATCTGGGATAAATCGTAAATATCATTGGTCTGTGATCTTTGTCTTCAATTTTCTCATTTCAACGCCATATTTCATTTCCATCTCGAATTAAAAAGCAACGGCAATCGATACATTTCATAAATTGTTCTTGAGTAACGCTCATATTTTGCCGATTTTAATCTATAACAGGGATGTACCTTATAAATCTTTGTCGTTGATATTGAGCAGTTTAAAGACATTCCAAGCATGAGTAATTAGTTCTGCAAAGGATGAAATTTCTCTTCAACTTTAAATAACATGAAATAAGTCAGTGTATCTGACAAGCAATCGTCAGAATGAAGATATAAGGTGAAATAATAAAGATCAATCACTATTTTACCGCGGGGTCGAGTGGGAACTTGGCAAATTACATCGGCAGAACTTGTCTTAATCACATACAATCCACGGTCAAGGAACATAATATTTCTCCAATCCTGCTTAAATCAGATGGTATTTTGAAGATCAATATGATATCCTTAAGAATAACAGACTGATTACATTTCTGGTAGATCATGATATATCAAAATATCTTAAATATTTTAATATTTTAAACCATATTTTTCAAATAATAGATAAATAATCTGTAAATATCAGAAAATATATTAGTAACTAAATTGTTTGCCAGGAGGGAGGTCAATTTTGATTTTTCAGCCCAAATATAGTTACATCTGCATGGAGTAGTCAAGATAGGATAAAAGTCTACTTCTATAAAAATGCCAAAAGCTATCTCCCTGTTCAGATTTTTACTGAGTGAAGATGATAGAAATGTTTTTGAACTTCATTTAAAATTCAATTTAATATTAGAATAAAGATAATAAAAGCATTATGAACAACAAATTGAGAAGACTTCTTAATTCAAAAAATTAATACCAAAGAAGATAGCAACTTGTGTTGGTCTGCCACTTGGCTGTTTAATATAAGCTATTGGAGATTTGCTTATTTTTTGGGTGGTATGAAATTTTTATCTTTGGATGAAAACCATGAGAATGAGGCATAAAGACTTTAGGCAATTAAGTTAGTATATGTTGGGTTTGGAACTTGCACACCAGTAGCCAAAGTTTCAAGACAGCTCCCCACCCCCCTGAAAACAAAAAAATAATAAAGACTACTAAAGTCAAGATTCAGACTGAATTTTAACTATTAATGTCAGTGTCATGACCCAAAATACCGCCAACCCAATGTCAGAGTGTCATGACCCAAAATACCGCCAACCCAATGTCAGAGTGTCATGACCCAAAATACCGCCAACCCAATGTCAGAGTGTCATGACCCAAAATACCGCCAACCCAATGTCAGAGTGTCATGACCCAAAATATCGCCAACCCAATGTCAGAGTGTCATGACCCAAAATACCGCCAACCCAATGTCAGAGTGTCATGACCCAAAATACCGCCAACCTAATGTCAGAGTGTCATGACCCAAAATACGGCCAACCCCCTCCCCCTTGAGACATTCTATCCACAGGACTGTGGAAACTTCTTCAGTTTGGGTAATGAACCTTAGACTGAAGACTATTTCAGTGGCAGAGTTATCTATCTATTCTCTATTAAGAACAACTTGGATGGAGCAGCAAGTGTGAATATTAAAGAGGTTTAAGGGGGGGGGGGGAGTTACTCACCTCCTCCAAATCCAATTCATCCTCCATGTCACCACTATCTGATCTGTCTCTACTGAAACTTCTGAAATATGAAAATTCTGTTCATAGCAAAAAATAAGTAGGACTAGTTTTCAGCACATTAGAGACTATTTTTGTTTGATGGAATGTAAATTAAAAAGGACTTTTGGTGTTAGAAATGTCACTTTTTCTAAAGATTTACCTGCTAAGAGGTAGTTCATTGATATATTTTTATGAAAATTATTAGTATTTTTCGATACATTATCAACAATCTTTTTGGCAGACTAAAAACTATACTCCAAATTTTGTTTAATATAATTAAAAAGATTAAAAACATACTCTTCATATCGTCTTTCCATTTCTGAGAGACGGAACATTGACTCATCTCTTTCTTGATTGGCTACTTTAATTCTGCCCATCATGGCCTCCTCTTTTCTCCTCTGTGCTCTATGGACTTCTTGCACCATTCCTGAAATCATTCAATGTTAGGATTATTAGATGAATCCTATACAGGTGTACACATTTTGTACTAATTAACCAAGATATGACGTAAGAAATCATGTTAAAATTATAATCTTTAATATTGAAACAACCTAAGACTAGAAAAGTCCCGTACATTTTAGAATAAGTGGACCAGTAAAAAGTGAAACCAGACATTTTCTTATTAAATCAGAAATCTTAATTTATCAAGAGAATTGCATTTATTAAAGCTCCAGGATTAAGTATTCAAATATTTTGAAAAAAAAAAAAAAAATTATATAACTACAGAAATGTACTTACATGTCTTGAACAAAATACGGTCATTAATTTTTTAAACCTAAACTCATTCAAGTATTAAGTGATTTTCATGGAATTTTCAAGTTGAATTTGAAATTTACAGAAGCAATTTAACCATCTGTTAAGTATTGAAATCAATGCTGCTCAGGTGAAACATCTTGTGTCAAGTGACCTTACATTCGGTTTTCTTTGATTTTAACCAGAGCAATGTGACTTCAAAACCTGATATTTTTTTTAAAAAGCTCTACATAAACTAACCACTTGCCAAACAAGATGGTTTACAAAAACATAATTTCAATTATGAAAAACAGACAGCAATTCTTAAAAATGCAAGAGAAATACCACAAAAATAAATGTTTCACTTCAAGATTAGTAGCAGCATAAGACTGGATCTAATTCTTGAACAAAATTTCATTTCAAATGTTGACAAAAATTTCTACATTTTTCTACTACTAATAACAGCATCACACTAATTCATTTATACCTCTTTTAGATGCAAAAATTTCATTATGTCAAATACCTGCAGAGTACGGCATGGATTATTTTACCGAATAATTTGATCTTCCGTTTGACACCAATAATTGTCCAATTATATATGACCCAAACCATTACTGGCGCTCCATGTTAATTCATTTGGGCTTTCCTATTTTACCATTAATATGGTGTAAACATTCTAAATAATTATCAATTTGTTGTAATAAAGATTAAAATAAAAAGATAAAAAGGAAATGAGATACCGTGTTTTATTTGAGCGATGTGCCAAACTCATTACGACGAGTTGATCACGATTGAGACGCATCTCCGTAAATTACAGTCTCCTTTAATAGGAACTGTTGCAGGGCAATTAATTCTCACAGATCAATCAAAATAACTAAAAGGAAAAATGAAACGGAATAAATCGTGATCGATATCCGAATTCCCTACCTACAGTAGCCTTAATGGGAACATTAGATCGTTGACAGATTACCTGAATAGTATTGTAATGTTACCTGGTCAGGGGAAATAAAATTAGAAAAGTTATTTTATTCAAATTGAACATAATTAGAAATAAATTCATCTGAAATATCCTTTTACAAAATCGTTCTTTACAGTTGACTAGAAACATGCATTAGGCATTAGAATTTCTACTAAAACAATATTTCTCATGAAATGTCAGAAATTCTAATTAATTTGTCTGAAATCAAACTGAAGTTTATGCCATAATTTGCATAAAACTCAGAAAAATAGTCTATATCAAATAGTAATTTTATACGTAATTTAGTTTTTTCTTAATCTTTAACACAAAGAATTTGATCTCAGACAATTTACAATCTTTAACCCAAAGAATCTAATCTCAGAGAGTTTCTTAATCTTCTATCCAAGATTCTGATCTCAGTGAATTTCTTAATCTTTAAACAAAGGTTCTGATCTGAGTGGCTTTCTTAATCTTTAATGCAAGATTCTTATCTCAGAGAGTGTACTAATCATTAACCTTTAGACACTGATCTCAGATAGTTTCCTACTCTTTAACCCAAGATTCTGCTTTCAATCAGTTGCCTAATCTTTAACCCAAAGATTCAGATCTCAGGGAATTTATTAATCTTTAAACCAAAGATTCAGATCTCAGGGAATTTATTAATCTTTAACCCAAAGATTCAGATCTCACAGAATTTATTAATCTTTAACCCAAAGATTCAGATCTTGGGGAATTTATTAATCTTTAACCCAAAGATTCAGATCTCAGGGAATTTATTAATCTTTAACCCAAAGATTTAGATCTCAGGGAATTTTCTAATCTTTAACTCAAAGATTCTGTTTTCAAAGAGGTTTTCTTATCTTTAAACCATGGTATCTGATCTGAGACAGTTTCCTAATCTTTAACCCAAGGTATCTGATCTGCGAGTTTCCTAATCTTTAATCCAAGGTATCTGATCTGAGAGAGTTTCCTCATCTTTGACCCAAGGTATCTGATCTCAGGACTTTAGTTTAAACCCTTCCTTCCAAATGAATTACTTGTTATGTATATTTGCATATCTGACATTCTTAAATTTATTTCAATTAAAAATTATTCTGTTAAAAAAAATAACACTGTATATTAATTGTTTCCAAATTATCCAAAATTGTACAAAAAGTTTTTGTCAAAAACCCAAATAAAAATATGCTTCCATAAAATTATTTTGGGCCTCCTAAACTAGAGATGAAGAAGTAGCATATGGAGACATTTCAGGTACAGTGAAAGTACAGCTTGTTTATAATCATACCTGCTGCCACAGAAGCATCTGTATGACCTTTTTCATCTGCCTCTCGGACTTTGGCCTTCAACTTTTCTGTCTCCAAATCTAGTTCTATATTTATCATTTTCTCCATTAACTGAAAAATAAGATGATATTAAAATATCTATGAATACTTTTCAAAAAATTTCTTCTGATTGCGGCCATAAATAATTAACAGTTGAAAAAAAGTTGTTTGCAATAATTGGTTATTATAAATCTGCATGACTACAAACATCTACTGCAGGATATCACCATAACTACATTGTAAAGATAGTTCCTTAATTAGATAGATTTTCAGTCTGCTCAACTTACATTGGTGTACTTATAACTGGTTGCGTGTATAAAAAGGCCAAGATTTTTTTTTAACTTAATTAATACTAATTTTTTTTTACAATCCATATATATTGTTATTTATGACATTTGCTATAAAAATACAAATGAACATCAGGCTTTTAAGTGTGCAGTTGATCTTTTTTATAAATTTTTCTTAGCAAATGGGTGATAACAACATTATTAAACAAAGATTAAACCTAAGCGACGAAAGAGTGATTTGTACACATGCATATTGAATACAGGTGCAATTTATCATTTAAATCACATTTGAAGCATAATAGTACATTCTTCATAAGAGATATAAAGAAAATAACGAATGTATTGTTACCTTTTTGTTTTGAGATTTTGCAGCATCTAACTCTGACAACAGCAGCGCCACCTGCCTGTTTTGATCTGATGGACTAAGATGACTGGAATATGATGGAAGCACTGATTCTGTAATTGATGTCGGTTGATACATAGGTGACTGTTGTGGTAAGAATGAAGAGGACCTGATAGGCGACGGGTAACCATTCATTGTATGTGAGGGCAGTCTAAAGAATGATTGCTGAGGCTGAGGTTGTTGTGATCGCGTTGTATCTTGAGGAGGTAGTTCTTCTGTGTGTAATTCACTAACACTTAATGACGTGTCCATTTTTTCTGACTGATCGTCCTGTTGATCGTTATTTAGTACCTTCGGTGTACTTGTTGGGGTACGTAATGGATTCCGTGGAGAGGTCAGATTGTAAGAATAAGCACCAGAGGGACTAAAGGACGAGGTCAGACCAGGTCTGTATAACACAGGTGTCTGTGGCATGCTCACATATTGTGGAAATCCAACTATATTAGAATGAGTAAGAGGAACACTGTTTTTATTGATAAATGATTTGCTAGAGTCACTGTTATCATTTCTTGGTCTTTCAGTGCCCTTAAAATCTTCAAAAAAAGACAAATCAAATAAATATCATGCTTAACAGTATTTTTTTTTTATTCATTATGTTGATATTCAAAAATGTGGATCAAAGGACAAATATGCAAATTTTCTGATACAAATAAACTGACAAATTTACATAAATCAAGGTAAAATCACCCAAAACATATACATAATCCAAAATAGCAAAAATTTCCAATTTTGATTAAAAACTGAATTGAAACTGACTGAAAAATTGTTTGTTAACCAATTGGTTTGATGTTTACATTAGTGAGAATGGGAGGAAACTCTCAGAAAAGAAAAGAAAAGATGACTGGTAACAAATGCATTATGTATATGAACTGAAAGGAAACCAGCAAAAATACCAATGAGACAGTAACCAAATGACAAAAAAAAAACAACATCTAAGGGAGCTACCATTTGATTTTTATGGGGGGGCTAGGATGAAATTTAAAAAAAATAGGCAGGACAGGAGTTTTGAGTAAAAAAAAAGGCAGGATGAGATTATTTGCAAAAAAAAAAGGCAGGATGACAATTTATGTAAAAAAAAAGTCAGGATCAACTAAAAAAAAAAGGCAGGACCGAAAAGAGTGAAAAATAAAAAGGTAGGACCGAATAGAGGGAAAAATAAATAGGCAGGACAAAATTTTTCATCCTGCCCCCCCCCCCTAAAAATCAAATGGTAGCTCCCTAAATAGCCTCATATGAATGCTAGCAACAGAAATGTGTCTATTAAATATGGCAAGCTCTAAATTGTTTATGGTCTAGAAAAGTTTCTGCTATCTATATCGATTTCCCTAAATGACTAAGTTTTTTTAAATCAAAACACAGACAACTACTGACCAGGTTCCTGACTCGGACCAGACACATGAACATGTGAGGTGGGGCTGTTAAATTGTTAATATAAAAATAAGATGTGGTATGATTGCCAATGAGACAACTCTCTACCAGACACCAAATGATGTAGAAATTTAGCTTGTTTTTTTAATCATTCCTCCCTACATACATCTCTTTATAAGACATCATACTATACATAAATATATTTATCTTTCAACATCTACCATTTTTTTAATATGTTATGGTATAAAAACCAACCTACCCAAAGCTCGCTTAACTTGACTTGCCGATTTGTTGTGTCCAACTTGGTCAGGACTGGGTGGCCTGTAAGTGTAAATCAATATTTATTTAAGTCACAATCAATTCAAATAAAATGGATTGTTAAAGATTTTAAAATGTGATCAAGCCGAATCACGATATAATAATATCAAAGTCCTTAGCTCAGAATACATAATTTACGATTCTTTCAAAATTACATTCATTATATCGAATTTATTTGTACAAGTATTAAAATCTGGTTCTTTATTTAAAATTCTGTTTGATTACACCTTATGTTACAAATGTTCAAATGTTCCGTGGAAATCATTAATAAAAATATAGCTTTTACGACAGTACTAAGATTATATGGTTGTCAATTTCAAAAAATTTTTGACCCTAATTACCAAATTCAGTTAAAATTTTCTACAATAAAATTTGAAAATTTTAGTCAAAATTTACTAAGAATAAAAAAATCAATTATTATTCATTGCAAATACTAATTGGCACAAAAAAAAATATATTCCTTGTGTCATATATAGTCTAGTATTTTTGTATCCCACTTCCATATCTGAAAATTAAAAAACAAACTAAACATGGTAAAGCTATAATATCTGAAATAACAAGTGTTTATTCTAATTTCTATATAAATAACATTAATTTATTTATTTTAATCGAATTTTATTTACATTTGTAATAAATTCATATACAAGCAGAGAGACAACAAGACAGTTATTTCAATATTTGACTATTTACTTGTAAGCAGAATTACACGCGTCTGAATTACTGTTACCAAATATAATATTTATCTATTTAATACAAAATAACAGATTTGTAAATAGAATTTATATGTTTTATAAATGAAGTGCATATTTACACGTAAGATTTATTAATGACGGACATGTTTACTTGCGACGGGGCTAAGAATGTTTGAAAATGAAATGCATATTTACAGGAGAAGATGAGAACTAATACATTATTATCGGAGAATAAACAGAAATCATTTGCACAGCAAACTATCAAATTGTGTATTTAGGGTTATCAGTGTTTAAAATCGTTTATCTATCAACTACCGCTTGATTAGAAATTTCAACAATTCACTGTATGCATAAAACCTAAAGTCAATGATGATAATATTGTGTAAAGTGACGGGATTAAACAATCATTTTGTCATCTTGTATCCACTGTGTCTATTTGGACGAGATTTTGTCAATGTTTATATAACAACATTTGCACATATAAAAATTGTATTAGTAGAAATATTTGTTTGGGGAAAATAATCAGTGAGATGATCTTTCTATTGCTTACATAACAAACACTCTGAAGTGCTTATAATCATTCCAATATTGTTTTTGTGTAAATACTAAGGGGAGCTAACCCATTTGTATTCAAAACAAGATATTAAATGTATGAGAGATGAATATCATGAATATAATCACTTACAAATCAATTTGAGATTTTTCATGCATGGATGGACTCCAAATATTAGAATGTTTTTTATGTCTGCTGCTGACAAACTTAAAACTGAACATGAAGATAATAATTTAGAATGAGCAAATAAAATTCAACACATTATGTGCTGATAATGATAGTGCAAGAATATTTTATCTTTTTAACTTTACTAAAAAAAGAATTTAATTGTAAGTATAAAAATAAATGATAAAACAATACTTTCAAAATAAAATGTTCTGCAATATCATGTGTACACCCTTTAGGGGCCTCACTAATGTTCCAAATTTGATGTCACAAAGAACATGTTTGATCCAAAAGTGACTACCGTGTACATGTAAGTGTTGCAACATCAAGGTTTAATTGTGACAGAATCCAAAACAGATATATATATATATATATATATATATATATAAACAAGTCTAAATTGAAAACAACGTTCAAACCTATGATTGCATTGGATAAAAACCACAATTTTTATACGTGTGCATGCAATACAAATTTCTTTGTAGAGGGGTCTAAATACAGCACAAACAACATTTTCCAAAAGACCAAAAAAGTGAAAAAGTATATTTTAACAAAACGCATTTGACTAGCAGGTCGAACAACGGATGTTCTTAAACCCTGCTGACTGCCATGGCGATTGCCAAATAAACGGATCACAGATGTAACACAATGGAACTTGGTTATATTAATTTAATACCAAACAGAAAACAATAAACTTGCGAAAAAGATGGTATACCGCAAACATGAGGTGCAAAAATTTGTACACCATATCCGGATTTCGACAATTAATGTCTCTTCAGTGATGTTAGGAATCGAAACGATATTTGGAAGGCCATATAATTTACCTCAATTTGGGATTGACTCTTGAATTTTGAAGAGTCAAAATAGGATGAACGGATCATATATATATATATAAACAAGTCTAAATTGAAAACAACGTTCAAACCTATGATTGCATTGGATAAAAACCGCAATTTTTATACGTGTGCATGCAAAACAAATTTCTTGATAGAGGGGTCTAAATACAGCACAAACAACATTTTCCAAAAGACCAAAAAAGTTAAAAAGTATATTTTAACAAAACGCATTTGACTAACAGGTCGAACAACAGATGTTCTTTAACCCTGCTGACTGCCATTGGCGATTGCCAAATAAATGGATCACAAGTTGTTACAAAATGGATCGTTTAAAATTATTAATTTAATACTAAACATAAAACAATAAACTTGCGGAAATGATGGTATACCGCAAGCAAAAGGTGCAAAAATTAGTACACCATATCCCGTCTATACTGAGAATATCTAATATAAGAAGATATTTATTTATAAATATATATTATGTTGTGATAGATTCATTGTAATAATATAAAAAATTACTAGATTCTCATCCAAAGATATTTTTTTAGAGATTTTTTTGTTTTTCCTCTGGCTATTATCTTTTATTTTGCTTTTAAGTTTTCAGCAAACTATGACACAACATTTAAAATTCACCTACGTACAGGCCCACTGGAAAATAAAGTTGGATAAAATCAAGATTATCTTTTATTATGGCCTTACTTATAGCTTCACATAATCTAAAAAAACCCTTATAAGCCATTGTATTCTTTACCATACAATCACTCCATTGATGGTAGGACATTCATTGACTGATAGATGGCACAACTATCCAATGTATTCAATTTTTGTTACACAGGGAGGGTTATAATAGTCTGGATGGTGGGTCTTCATTTCTGTTAGTGTATTCTTTAATGTTTTAGGTCTATTCAATCAATCTTTTTTTTTCCATTAATTTCTTTTTCTTTGTATTTTAGCACCCCAATATTCTCCATAATTTTTTTTTGCCAATTTTTTTTCTTTACTTTATTTTATTTGTATTTTTGTTCATTATTTTCTACTTTGTAATCACATCAAGACCCTCAGTAAAGCCCTTCAATTTTGGGAGTTTATCATCCTTTTTTTCTCTCACTGCCAGTAATGTTCAAAAAGTCTGAAATTATTCAAAATGATTTGTTGAGCCTATTCATTGAAACTACTGTCAGCATTAAATGAAAAGAAAAATTCCATTACCATCAAATGTATATTTATCACATATGAATGAAATGAACATGTTTCAAAAGATGCTAATATTTCCTTAACACTGGGTTTTTATTTGATAAAAAAAATTTTCAATGATAAATTATGTTTTTGATAAATAAGATAAAAGTTAGTTTTAAAAATGAAATTTTTCACAAGTTGCACAAGGTAATTGAACAAAACATGTGGTGACCTTTCTGAAAATCTTATTATCCCTTTTCCTTACAATAATAATAATATTTGACATAAAATAAAGAACAAAACCATATAGTTTTTAACTAGGACTTGAAAATAAGAAAATTTTACAATGAAAAGAAAAAAAGAACTTTTTTATCTTAAAGATTCTGAACTTAAAAACTTCATCTTAAAATATTCATTAAACAATTTGGAGACTATGAATCCTTAATTGTGCCACTAATATTCAAACCTTAATAAACAACCTATCAATCTTGGATCATAAACATTTAGACAGCAATGATAGAATACACGGCTAATATCCCATCACATTTGACCCCTGTCAATGAATTATTTTGTCTAAAGTCAAAGAAATCTTCTATGTGGAGGTTAATTAAAGTATGGGACCAAATTTACCTCTTCAAACAAAACTGAATTAGAGTGTATTTACATTGTAAAAATTGCACAAATTTCATCAAACATAATTGAATAAGTTTGTGTTTGTTTTCTCCGACACCCCTGACAGATCAAACAAACTCTACTAGATCATTTCCCTTGGTTTCATTGCTACCCTACCGATCTAAACCTGGAGGGAATTACATCCCACCAGACAATCAATTCTAATCGCTTCATGCTTCCATACCACTTCTCTCAATGTTTACTTACTAGCTCGGCAGCATAAATTACAATCTACCGAGAAAAAAACTTCTTTTTTTCAGTTTGCAATTAAAATAATCTATTGTCCCGAGAGAATCGAGTTAATGAGTAAATCAATCACTAACGTATAAAAAAGATCTCAAATTGTCAAATTTTTTTACCCTCAATAATAATCGCTTTGAAATGCTGTGATCAGCTGATTGAAGGAGAAGAATCGAAGAAATATGATCACATCTCTACGTCTGAAGAAGATGTGTAAACAAATCGCATTCAGCATCATTCAAATGTTTAACAATCCATTCATTGTGCACTATGGGTAATTCTCTGGGTCCTCGCTCCTATTGTTCCGTCGTGACTTGTTCAATAATCTACGCATGAAAAGATCTTTTAAACTGTTGTATTTTCCATTTCTGTCCATCGTTTACCTTTCAGGATGAAATAAAGAGATCAATATACAATCAGACTCAAAAAGAGGATCATCGGCGAACATATATTCATTGTCAGGTCTCTGTAGTACTGTACTCTATTAAAAAATTTCTCAACAATTACATCCATCAAATATTTCGCTATTAATCAAAAACCGACGGGAATTTCATAAGAGTATAGATTGGACGACATCAATTAAAACTTGTAAGATGGAATTATTACTCTAATGTAAAATATAATTACAATGCTTTTTTCAGAAAAAATAACAATTTGCTCATCTGCTGTTTTTTTCTCTTCGACTTGCCATGATTTTACTTTGAGAGAAACATGCAAAATTGGCACAAAACCAATTAATTAAATGAAAGTAAACAGTAAATAATAGAAAGATTTTAATTAAAATTTGAAAATAACGAGTTTTAATTATGATATTTATTCAGATGTTGCATTACTGTAATTATTTCCACAAATGCCTGTATTTTTTTTTTACATGGAAATATTAAAGCAACCATTTAAATACTGAAATTGTTCTTATACTGTTTTTTTTTTTTTGCAATAATTGTCTTCTTTTGACAAATGACAACAAAAACATATGCATATAAAACAGGCAACATTTTTCACATTTCATTTTTTATTCAAAAATCGAAGAAACCAAACCTAATTTTATTTTCAATTTTTTCTATACATTTTGTGATTAAGAGGGTTGATACAGCAAGGAAAGAAAATTAAAATAATTTAAAGGAAATTATTGAGTCGGAGCAATAACTTTTTCACTAAAATCACTTAATTCAGTCGAAGAATTAAGAAAATTTTGAAACAAAAGGCATCAATGAAGCAATATTTAAGATTAAAAATAATCACAGCAGAATTTATAGGGGTTGAAGAAGAACTAGGAATAAAAATTTAATAAGCCATATTCCTATAAAACAAATATTCCATTATATTGATTCAACAAATGCAACACAATTTTAATAATATCAGCAACCTTCCAACTATAAAACACACATTATTTATTTGTATATATATATATATATATCACAAAAAAAAAAAAACCAAGAAAAACAGGTACACTTAGACTTCATAAAAGTCTTTTGAGAATATTAAATTGATTTTTTAACTCAACAAATAAGCACAACATAAAACACACAAGTTTTTCATTTTGTTATACAGCAACAAACACCCAATCCTAAATAATTATCGCTGAATTATTACAGATAACATACAATATGTGGTCACAATTTATTGTCGTGAGGAAATAAAATTAGACGTGTATAAATTATGGTCTAAACGATATAAAGTGTGGCCACAATTTACTGCCGTGAAGAAATAAAATGTGACACATATAAATTATAATGGTACCTCTCCTAACATCGCTGACGGAAAAAACAATTTTATTATATCAGAAAAATACATCATCTCACAACACAACAAATTACAAACCTCGCAATCACCCAGCAACAAAAGTATTACTTCAGTTTATTATGTTTAAACAAAGTTTAATTACAATTATTCGGCTATAAACACTGCATTCGTTTCTGAAGGATTACTAAAGAATTTAATGAAAATAAGTTAATGTGTTGACAAAATAAACAATCACATCTGTTTACCTATTGTCTATGAATTTACATGCTGAAACAATGTCATTTATGATGTTAATTTCGAGGAAATAAATGTAGTTTTCTAGCATTTGTCTATAAAGTATGATGTATATGTTATTTTGAACAGTTCATTCAATTGTGAATATCTACTCTTTTTTTACATATATAACTATAGCTAAATAGAGTAACACTCTGGTTTTTCTGTTGATCATCAAAATATATGTAAAAATAGTCAGAAATAAGGGCAGGCATTTGGTTATGACAGAGATAGGAATATAGGATTGTAAAAAAATTATAGCGAATAGAATTTACAAAGTTAAAAAATTAGAGAAGTTCATAAAAACATTAAAAAAAAAATAAGTTAGCTTTATATATACAATTTGTCTGTTTTGTATCGTTAAAAAATGTTTTATCAGCTTTCCTGTTTACACTTGTTTTAGAATTTGGCTGCAGACATACCTGGTGAAGATTATTCCAGAAAAAACATTGTGAACATTAAAATTTTGAATCAGAATATTTTTTTCAGGTCTAGGTATGGCACATTTAATTTCATTATTACAATATTTTCTACTTTCACTGTTTTTAAAAACAGAAGAAATTCAAAAGAAATGAATGTTACTAGAAAGCAGTTTGGAAATTACTTTGGTCAAATTATCGATTAACGTTTCTGACTGATAGTGATTATTAAATATTCAGTATGCTACACACACTTCTATATATCAAACTACTATCATCTGACACAAAGTGTGAAATATTTAATATTTCTTTTAAATCCAATAACTGCTTCGTGATCTTTGAAGTTTTAAAACTCTATATCTTTATTTAAGACTTTGATGTTTTTGACATAAGACTTCAAATTACACATGTAAAATTAAATGCATTTTGAGAATATAATGAAGAAAAATCTCCACCTTCTGCGAAGCCAACGATTATATCCCACGGTACTTATAAAATGTTATACCGACAATATCATGCTGCAAACCATTATACTCGTCACAAAAACCCCCAATCATCAATATTGAACAGTAGTTCATACCAAAGCCTTGTTAAGTATTTAAAATGAAAACGCGATATCACCTCATTGTACGTAATTTTTTTCAACAATTTTTTTTTAACACCACTGCTCTCTACAATATAAAACTAAATAATAAAACCTTTAAAACTGTTTGTTTACACAGTAGGGGTATTGATTGTAAGTCAGTGTGCTATTCATCCCGTTGGAATTGCAAAAAAATGTAAGCATTCAAAGTGCACTTTTCTTAATGATTATTTCTAATAATTACTCGATCTTCTTGTCTGACCCTATTTACGCCTAGACAACAATTGTTGTTTTGATCGACACCCCAAACATAATATTTTTACAGTCACTTCCTTAAGAGTGATAGTTCTTTTTTTTAGCAAACTCGTTATCTCTGCTGATATATTTTTCAAAATCCTTCAAGAATAAAATGGGACATTATCGTATATAATTGTTAACTTCACAATAAAATCGAAATGATTCTTGAAGTATTTTAGATTTAATTTTAACTGATGGTTATAAGTAGATATTATAAAACTACTTAATATCTGAACGATTTTTTCTGCAATTAAAAAGAACCTTTTAAAATCATATTGAAAAATTGATTCTGAAATACAGTTGATAAGTTTTAAATATCTGCCATTTTTTTCAGCTTGAACCTGACCAAAGGGAAGTAACTTCTGTGAAACTATTGGAAAATAACTGATAATATCCTTATCATGGGAACTCTTATTTTAATAGAAAGCAGTACAGAGAAAAAAGGGATCAATGGTCTTTCATTTATAGAGTTTGTAATTGTGTTAAGTGGGTCAGAAGCTCCCCCAAAGGGAAATGGCCCAACATACACATGTTATGATGTACATAAAATCAGAAAAACTAATATTGAATCTTCATAATTTCAATAACACATAATTTATATATGTGCTTGCATTTATCTAACTTTCTATTTAAAATATTGATATTAAAAACAGAATTATTCTTGACAAAGACAGCAGTAAAAAAAAATGATCAAAATCAATATGATATTTTTTTACTGCAATTGAAAGTTACAAAGAGAACTACATGTACAGTAAATTGCACTTGGTTTTGCTATTCTGATAGCTGCCATTTTCCTCACAATGACACATGTGAATTGACAAATTCAGAAATGGCCAAGCTTAAGAAATACATTAATAGAGAGATGATAAGTTATAAGACCACATATTAAAATATTTGAAAATAATTCAATTTTCTACAATTGTCTCAGATAAATATTGTTAGACTGAACGACAGTTTAAAATATCATGTTTAACATTTTATCCTGTAATGGGCAATTTTGGAGGTATTAAGCATACATGGGTATAAGTATCACTACTAGCAATTCAAGAGGTGCAAGAGTTCTTTCCCTTTGTAAAGATATCTAAATAGTTTGCAGTTTGATGCAATGTACTTAATTTACACCACGCTGTGATTTTTAAGAAGTGGACAGAGCGATAAAAGTGATAGACAGATTAAAGAACAGATAACAAACCAGTTGCTATATAAACAATCATTTGCTAAGCTGTGTTGTGGTTTTGACAGTTTTTTTCCTCCATAATTTCATTTATATTTGAGTTTTTGTTGTTAAATTTTGAGCCAAGACATTTTGTTTGTTCTTTCTATACCCCCAAAAAAGGATTAAACATTTATTGTGTTCTTGAAATAATAACTGAGTATGCAAAATTTAGATAGGTTAAATAATAAAAAGAAAAATTACTTCTGGTTAGAGGGAAAATGAATATATGTGTTTGTTACTCTCTCTCATTCTTAGAGATATTTCATTATTTCATAATTTATAAAAAGGGTGGATGCTGCGCCCTCTAAAAAAGGGCTAGCTAGAACACTGATAAACAATGATTTGTATTGCTTGCATTAGGAACCCCTTTGACAATTTCGGAGCATTTCAATTGAGTGAAAAACATCCCCTCCGAATACTAATCATCTAGAACTACTCAACGTAAAGCATGTATACATTGTTTTGTATCTAATCTAAGTCCTTATTGGATGTGCTACCAAATTCACACAAGGGTCTCATTATGTCAGCTTTGTAGCTTGCATAGAAACTAGTGAAATCTGCTAAAATAAGTTTCACATGTTGACCACAAATTTTAATCGCAATGATCATAGTAATCAGAAACCGATCAAGTTAAAATGCAAATTTACCTGTCTGTTTTTGTAACTTGCTGTGTTTCCATAACTTCAATTGTCTCCCCTGGATTTTCTATTAAATCATCCTGTTGATCTTGATCTGATCTTGACAGTTTAGGATCATCTTTGTTTGCTCTTGGTAGTCTTTGTCTCAATTCATGATTAACTTCTGGACTTTTATATGGATCCACTAAATGTTCCTGAAGTCTGTTTTCAGCAGCTATTCTCAGAGATCTTTCAGTTTCTACAACAACATCCCTGCAAAGAACAATTGATACATTATTTTGAAGTGTGGATACAGAAAAATGTTCTATCTACATTTCAAAAACCAGGGATCATCTAAGTCAAGGTTATGTATATCATAGGGACTGAAAATGGAAATAACACTTTATTAATTTTGTGAGTCTGAAGCACATTCATGGATAACCTTGAACTGGAAAACAGGAACACTCAAAAATTTTGGAGGTCAAGGAATTTGAATGTTGTGTTATATAAATCACAAGAATGATGTGTATGTTGGTTGACATTTTCAACTGAGGTTGTAGGAAGCCAGACTGAGCCTATATTACTCATGTGTTTTCTGTATATAATTCTAACTCGGTAAAAATTAAACTCACAGCAATAATCATTAGAGTAATTCTGATAAAATAAGCCAGCAATTTTCAGAAAAGATTTATTTTAACTCAGAACACCAAAATGGTGAGATGGGGCTTTTCCCGTCAGTTTTTGTCTGCCTTAAGCTTCAGTCCTACATTCTTAACTAAAACTTTAAAAAATAAAATACTGAACTTCCTTAGAACCAATAGGCAAATCAAAGCCCAAATTGACCTATGCATCCTACAAAAAAGTATCTAGTAGTCAAAATGTTTAAATGGTCAAAACAAACCTGCTGGTATCAAAGTCATTATAAAAATATCTTGTAATATAGTTGAAAATTTTTGGGGGAAATGATGTGTTTGCAATTATGGCTGATGACCCCCAACAACCATCAAACCAATTGTTACTAAAAATAGAAAATTTGATTAAAAATCAATGTAAATTCAGAAAAATCATGTAACAGACCAATAGCAATCTATATTAAGGTATACAATGCACTTATGGTCAACTTAAAATTTGAAAAAAATACCTCTATAGCCATCAAACTTGTCAGACTTCTGACATTCCTAAACACATTAGAATCTACATGTATATATCCATATCAGACCATTTTTTTTTCATTCTTCTTTGATTTCAAAAGTTGTTATGAAATATTTTTTTATAACAACCCTTGATACTATTTTGGTCTATTTACTGTTATATTAAGATTTCAATTGTGAGAAAACCCCTTATTCCATCATGTCCATCTGACTGACTTTCAGTATTTTCAGTATTAAGCCAAATTTTTATTCTAGGTTTCAATTCTTAGGTAAATCATAGTTACATTTGACTCATGTTGTGTATTTTGCTGTCTTACATTGTCTTAAAATATTATATTTTTTTCAAATTTGCCACTGTGATGGACATTTCAAGATGAAAACTTAATGAACAAATGTAACCAATGTTGTTTTTAAATAATTCTCTCTAGATCTTTTATAAAAGCCATAGCCAAACATAAAGTAAACTCAATACACACTGGCTGATCCAAGGAAAATAAGGTTTTACATAAGGAACCTCCATTTTCACTGTTTTGCTTAAATCGCATGACAACTTGAAAAAAAATCGTCACACCCTAACCAAAATACAACACACAAGAACTTCCTCTGTCTTACAATGTAAAAGATGTTATTTCCAACCCTCAAACATGTATAATAGGCAAATATCATTTAACAGGCACCTTCACAGTTTCATTTCCTTAAATGAATAACAGTTTGGAAGTTTTGTCAACTTTTTCCCAAATCAGAGTTAAAAATACAGAATTAAATTCAATCCTAGCATATCAAAACTTAAGATTTTCTTAAATCAAATTCTAGCACATTAACACTCTCAAGAGTTATTTATCACCTCAGTCCTTATTATAATTTATAACATGTATAACTAAGACAATTTATACCATATCATACATACCCTTAAAAAGACAAATGAATAAAAGAAAGCATAATAAATTAAGATAATTGATTTTTGTTTGTTATAATTTATCAAAGATTTAATTACCAATAATAAAGTAGATAGATCAATAAAATTTGAAAACAGATTATGTGAAGGGCGAAACAGCTTGCCTCATCAGATGAGTCATTGATATATATTTCAATAATCAATATCTTTATTTATGACACAAAATGACTTCATTTTCCATTTATGTTGTTCTTATTCGCTTGCTATTGTAGTAAGATTTAAATCCGTCAAGATAAGCTGACCAAATTTTATGCAGTTTATATCCCCTTTAACTGCATAATGAAATGAATATTTAACAGATATAATATATATATATATATATATATATCTGTTAAATATGCAGTTAAAGGGGATATAAACTGCATAAAATTTGGTCAGCTTATCTTGACAGTATCTTGTATATATTATATATACAGTAATTATTAATCATTGCTTTGAAAAAAAAGTTTCAGGTTTCTAATATAAAATGCATATCTTTAAATAAAGTAGAACATGTATAATATACATGTAATATAAAATGCACATATAAATGTTAATGACATTCATGCTATGTTGCTACTTGTATAAATAAACTTAAAGTATCAATTAACACATGGATGGGCTTTTCAGAATATGCAACCCTTCCGTAACTGTATCACATGAGTTCATCTACAGTTTTTGTTGGAGTTCGTGATGCTTTCTCTTTTATTTTTCTGTGTAGCATTTTTTTACTTTGTCTGTTCATCTATTTTCTTTTGGTCATGGTGTGGTTTGTCTTTCTTTGACATATGGTTTTTTATTGTGCCTTTGGCATCCTCTTCTTTTCTTTCTTCAAGTCTAATGTCAATAAATATAGATGTACTATCTATTAGCTACATCACAATGGTACCATGTTAATGTTACATATATGAGCCCTGGGCTCTCTGTCATAAAACTTTACTCAGTACTCGGAGTACAAAATTTGTGCTCGAAACACCAAATCCATGATTTTGATTGGTTGTTTTCTGAGTCTGAGTACGAAAATCGTGCTCGAAAGTTTTATGACCGCAAGGCCTGCATTGTATTTGTCCAACAAGACAAGCAAGGTTTTTGATGTGCTTTAATCTCATTTGTAGTATATATGGTAGCAGTGCAGGTAAGACAATCTCAACAAGATGCATTATATAACATATCTTATAAAGGAGTATTAAATTAATTATTTGAACTTATAATCAAATTGATTCATTGTCAGAAACAATTATTTAATCTGATGCAAACTTTAAGGTTTTGTATACCTTGTAACACTGTACATCATAAAGTAAGAATTGTTTTCGTATCTTCCACAAATATTCCTTACAAATATCTAAAAAAATCACAACTTTAATCAAATTAAAGAAAATTGATTTTATACAATATATGTATTTTGTTTATAATGTGAAGAAACCAGTATACAAGTCAAGCATGTTTGCTCAAAAATAAACACATTTTACATACATATATTCAACTTGATGTTTTGTTTCATTCATTACACCGTACATTTTGGGGCTGGTACTTTTCACTTTGTCTTCAACCACTTCTTTTAAGAAATCTTTGTGAGTTGTTAGGGATAAATATCTGTGACATTTACATGTATGGATGCATGATGATGATGATGGATGGCTGCTTAATGACCAGCGGCAAATTAATATGCATATTCAGGACAAGAACTTGTTAATGTTATATGAATATTAACCCTGCTTTGTACTAGAGCTGGATTTTTAACGTGCTAGTTCACAAGGTAACAATCCGCAGGAAGACATGTCACCTTACCCTGACACATTATTCTGACTCCAAGCCGACCAGTTTTTGCTCTTACTCCTTAATGCCATGTGTTTAACGGAGCAGCAGCAAATACCAATTTTAAAGTCTTTGGTTTCACCCGAAGGGGGTTCGAACCCATGACCTCCCGCATTCGAGGCGAACAGGCTACCGCGAGACCACCGAGGCAGTATATGGATGCATGAAATAACAAAGTTAATGTTGTTGTCAAACAAAGCCAGTGGGACCCAATATAGTCATTTTGATCTCTGAAGTCAGGCTTTATGCCTTGAAATTGATACAAGCAATTCAATAACCAATTTGTGATTTTTAAACCCATGACTATAATAGGTAATGTCTATATCGCTGGTTCACAAATATTTCAACATGTTTACATCAAATAATTGAAGCAGTAAGACAACAAAATTTCCTGTTTACTTTGTTGTCTTTGTTTACTAAAATATGAAACTGTTGATAGATGATTATCAGATAGATCTAGGTTAATCATCAAAGGAGTGAATTCATTACTTGGCACTGTAGTCTAGGTTTTGGAGGTTTTGCAACAAAATCGTTATCATTTTGTGTTGTGTCCTTACATGTATTTAATAGGCCCCTTCACGGTTAGTGCAGCCATGTTGAATGGGGGGCCAGATTTCATAATGGAGGTAAAAATGGGTTGAAAAATACAGGAAAGCATCATCAAAACAGAACAGTTGCTTGGAAATATGAGTAGGATTTCCCATACTGTCATACTATTTCCTCCTCTATCCAAAAAATCTGCCCCCTATTCAATATGGCTGAAGATCGAAATAACAGTGAAGTACCCTATTACAGAAAACAAACAAGATACTCATGTATTGAATCTTGATGTCTGATAATTGTCATTAAATTGTCCAAAGGGAACAGACCTGGAGCAAAATGAACAAGCTAGACCCTCTCTACCTGTGAGCTTTATAACTTAGCTACCAGAGACTGGCAGAGTAAAAAATTAAATATTTATGATACCAATTTTTGACAGACATGACAGACCTCTTTTCCTACAGTCACATGCAACCTATGTAGCAGGAATGCAATGCTATGTAACAATATACCTTTACTCAGCACTGAAATTATTTAGAACCATGAAGACTGTACACAGGTACAGTACTATTGTTAGATACTGATAAAAACCAGAAAAAGAGTCTGCACCTTTCATCGACATCATCCTGCAGGTCTGTGATTTTGTTTCGAGCACGCTCCACCGCTCGTCGCACTTCACTTGTCAATTTTTTGTTCGTCTCGTCTCTCCTAACGAAATCTTTCTCGGGTGTTCTATCGTTTCTTCTGTGATATTGGATAACGGTACACTCATTTTCAGTCATACTTATTACTTGCCTACATGTAAACTAAATAGTGCATTTTGGGTACAGGAAACCTGTAAACTAAATTATGAATCAAACACTGAAAATAGTTTCCGGATAAAAAAATTTTAAGAAACCTATCCGAAGAAAGATAACTCAAACTGGATTAAAATCTCACGAGAAAATGACATTTTATATTTTCTTGGACATTTTAGAATAACATGCTTGTTTTAAAGATACAATAAAAAAAAAATAAGTAAAAAAATGGCATTGAAAATTCAAAAATCGTCAACAGAGACATATAATAATTATTTGTCTCTGCTGTCAATTAGTGTGTTTTTTTCAATGTAAAGATACAGGACAGAACAAAGAGCACACCAACCGGCAACACCAGTTTAATCAGAAAAAAAAACCCAGAAGTACAGACAAAGACAAACAACAACGAACAACACATGGTGCAGATAACCAGTTTCAGGCCTGAGGTATAGACACAAAATGTGAAGAGATATAACCCTTTTCACGTAGTTTATCACAATAATGATAAATCATTCATGCCTTTGAAAAAGTGTTTTTTTTATATAAAATAGTAATACTGGGTACATTATATGAAGTGTTTTATTAGGTCCCGTGAATAACAATATCCTTCCTGGGACTTATATGTAAATGGACACATTACCGTCGATAAATTATTTTTACAGTGCCTCAGAGCTACTTATTTACTTAAGTTATAACACTTTGACCTATAAACAAAATATTGTATATATTATAGGTCTAAATCACCGTGAACATATGGGTCAAAACGCAGGAAACACTAAATAGCAATAACAGTATTAAAACAACAGTCAAGAATTACAATTACACACATAAAATCAGAACATATATATAGTAGTTATGACTTTTGATGGACATGGGCATCATTTTCGCAACTCTGTAAAGATTGCTTTATAAAGTCACCAACTGCATGCTGTCAAAAGTTCTGATTCGGGATTTAAAAGTTGTTTTAGCTTGAAAAGTAGTTGATAATTTGTATACTCAGGTTTTATATACATTGTAATCGATTTTAAAAATAACTGATCTCTTAAAGTTGACATCAGGTCACCACTATCTAGAAAAAATGGTATTCATCAGAAGTTTATTACAATTACATAAATAACCTTTGGTCCTTGGGTATATTTCCATATCTTACCATTTCAATTTCTAGGTTATGGTCACTTACACGAAATTAAGAGATTAACTGTCTGGTTTTAAAATTTGATTTTTTTTAAAATAAGTAATCCTCTATTTTTATCCGAGTCAGATTTTATTTGGCAATACTGTGTTTGACGAAATAATTTTGAACTGTCTGTAAAAGAAAGTTTATTTAAGAGACCTTTGTTACAAACATGTAGACGTCATGTGATAACTTTATTGGTCGCAGTGAAATATTGATGGGACCCTAGTTGTTTTTCATTGGGGTCCATTTTCTGTTGATCAATCAAAGACGAAATTAGGATGTTAATTTAAAGAGTTATGAAAATGTTGAAAATGAGAAGAGAAAGTAAATGCATGCAAGAACCCGTCTTTTAAATTCAACTATGCTTATTTATTATTATACATAGATAAGCCAAGTGTCCTTTAAAATGTTATATTTTATATAATTATTACAAATGCTGAGAGTTGCAATTTACATGTAGTTATATAAAATATACCCTACCTTGACAAGTCAGTTCATTCCTTTCAAACTTCGAACATGTCTTTATATTCTAAATTGTTTCTATTATTGGTAAACAGTGTGCATGACCAACACCTACTTATGTCTTACTTTTTTACTTTCTAATTCATGCTTAATCAACTGGAATGAATTGATTGTTTTCTGCCGATTTTGGCAACCATTATTGGGCTAAACAAACGTCTAAAGAAAAGTATAGAGGATTTGTACAATAGGTTTATCGCTGCCTTTTTAACGCCGTTTTGTTTAAGTTTCTTAAGAGTTTTAAAAGACATTTAAATGTTTAATTCATTTTTTAATGATATATTACACCCCTGTTGCATGTTATTAGTTCGATTTTTGAAAGCGATATGCATATGTTCATTTTGCTATGTGTTTCTCTATTCTACATTGGCTAGAGGTATAGGGGGAGGGTTTAGATCTCACAAAACATGTTTAACCCCGCCGCATTTTTGCACCTGTCCCAAGTCAGGAGCCTCTGGCCTTTGTTAGTCTAGTATGTTTTTTAATTTTAGTTCATTTATATGTTTTGGAGTTTAGTGTGACGTCCATTTTCACTGAACTAGCACACAATTTTAGTTAGGGGCCAGCTGAGGACCACCTCCGGGTGCGGGATTTTCTCGCTGCATTGAAGACCCATTGGTGGCCTTCGGCTGTTGTCTGCTCTTTGGTCGGGTTGTTGTCTCTTTGACATATTCCCCATTTCCATTCTCAATTTTATTTTACGAAATAAAAGAAATTCTTTTTTATTAACTTTAAAAAGATTTTGTCATAAAATATGCCTAACTATTTAGATGACAACATTTTCCTATAATGGTTATCATATGTACTTTTCTAAACTATCTATCGTACTTTTTCAACTGGTTAATTTGTATACTTTTTCAGATTGGCTGTCTTGTGTACTTTCACACCTGGCTATCTTGTGTACTTTTTCTAGTTTGCTATCATTAAAGCATAAAAAGATGTGGTATGATCGCAATGAGACAACTATCCACCAGAGACCTAAAGAACTAGTATGCAAGTAACAGTAGGTCAAGTAACCGTATGGCTTTCACCAATGAGTAAAACACATGCCGTATAGTACGCTATAAAAGGTTCCAAAGACAAAACCAACGGCCTGATTTATGCTAAACACAATGAATTAAGTGAAACAAATACGACAAACAGCAACCAACGACAATCACTGACTTACAGGCTCCAGACTTGGGACAGACACAATGAAGAATATGGCGTGGTAAAACATGTTTGTGAGCGCTCATCCCTCCTCTTAAACTTGGACAGTGCCGTAACAGCACAACATAAGAACAAACTATAAAAATCTGTTTGGTGGGGCTTGACTCATACAAAAATAACTAACACAAATAAGAAGAAAATTGTATGTCTTCAACTGGCTATCAAAATCTATTTACTTAGCAGTTTATGTAATACAGTTAATTCCTCTCATTTCATTAAATCTAAATGTTTATAAAAGACTAAGTAAACGCCATGTTTAGGTGCGATTAAAATTTTTCTTGCACAGTTGAAGTATAAGAGAAAAAGAACTATGTGTTCAGTATACAAAAGCAGTAGTTCAGCAATCTATAACTATTTAACAGTCCAATAAACAGTTTAATTCACAAATGACACTATTTTTTTTTACTTTAGAGATAATTCATGAACCTTTTATACTGAAAAGGATATTCCACCGTCTGTGAAATTTAATATTAGTTATAGAAGTGAATAGCAAGGGTGTACAGGAATATATTGCTTTCATTAAAAAAAAAGTGTTATGCGAGGCCCAACCGAGCCCTAATGATTTTCATGGGCCCATATATTCACGTATTCTCCTCGTAAGTCACTAGTCTACAGAAGAATTTTATCCCTCTGGTTACTTTTTTTCGATGTCCATTATATGCTGCGAACTTTCGTTTAACTTGGTATTTTGTAAAACGCTACTGTTGATTAATTTTAGGGTGAGTTGGGTTTTTTTCCCTTCTTTTTTTTTTAATTATTCTTACGATCCAATAATTTTGCTTGTAATATTATAAGTATAAGAGGTCATGGGGACATATGAATTTATGATATATGTCTGAATACTGTCTGTCGATATGATAAAAAATAGGACCAATGTGGTGTTTAAAAAACTAAGAAGCTTGTTAAGGTGGAAAACATTTATAATTCAAATTTTTAAACAAAGGCGCACTATTTTAACAAATCCTGTTACCAGAAAAATGCTTTTTTACCTTACCTTCATGTCTTAACCTATATTAGAATCCTCTATAAATAAACATTTCAATTTCAAGCACCTGTAAGTTTATCGTGACAGATAAATACATTGCAGATAATGTCTCCCCCAAGACGGAGTACAAATATATGAAATTATACCACAACACATGACATAAATGGATGAGTTAGACTCTGGAAAGTTGTACCGCGAAGCTAAAATCTAATCCGCCGAACAAGAACTAGAGGTAGAGATGCATAAATATGCAGTAAAGCAACAACGAAAACTCATAGTTTTTTAATTATTTGTCAGAATTAGAAATGAAGGCGTTTCAATTAATAAATAAAACCTAAATTAAAGGAACAACGATTGGCTACCGTTGACCATGGTGTTGTCAGTATTTTCGACTTATGAGTTTGAATGTCCCGTTGGTATCCTTCGTCTCTCTTCATCTTCAAGTCACAATGAGACAAACTCTCACAATTCATTGTAAGTTCACTTGGTTTTGCGAAATTCTTGCCTAGTAGAGGTCGAATTGTTATTATAACAGGGCCTTAAATATTGGTAAGTTACAATCATAATCAATTTGACATTGCATTGGTAACAAGATAACGATTTTCATGTTTATAGATAAAAGTAAAGTTATATGTTCTGCGGAAGCTTTTATTCTTTCAACTTTTATTCATCTCCATCGACAGAAAAATGACAACGGAAAAAGAGCAACATTGGAAAACTGACACCTCGAAATAAATAGTAAATGAAGCACTGCCATGTCGTTGTAGCGAACAAATTACATTGCGAAATTAATGGTTATACATAGACGAAGCCCATCCTCTGGGGGTTTTGTTGTAGTGTGCTCAACTTAAGTGCTGAAGGTCTTGGTTTCGATCCCCAGCTGGGTCAAATGAAAGACTTGAAAATGTGTATTTGCTGCTTTCCATAAGAGCAGAATTTTCGGCCCGAGGTCAGAATAATGTGCAGGAGAATTTAGGACGACCTGTCTTCCTGTGGACTGCTAACTAATTTACTGAAAAACATTGAATTAATATATTTGCCACTGGACATTAGGCATCCATTATTCAATCAATTACCATATAAATGATAATTATAAGTTTGATTTTTGCTCAGTGATTTCTGATTTCAATCGATGCTAGTCTTCAGTTGTACCAATAATTAAGAACTGTGGGGAGTAAAAAAGAGAATATAGTAGACCAAATCAGAGTTGACAAGAAAGAAAAAAAAAGACGGAGTAAATTGCACTATAATTATAAATAACAGTTAATTCATAAATGTAATATTTTTTTTCAAGACGGCGTCAATGTATAGTCAAGAATTTATTGATTGTTACAATGATAATGGAACAGCTGGTCTTAACAAAAGTCTTTTTGGAAAAGGTTCACCATAATTTGTAGACCAGTTTATAGGTTTGTTTTTCTCATGCTCTTCCCTCAACTCACGGATAAGATAGTTCAAACCACGTATTTTATCGTCGACAGATTTTCTGGGTGATCGGATATCTTCGTTATTTTCCGTTGTGAGAACCCTGCGCCGATGCGACGTCGGAGGTCGTATGTCACTGCTCCTCCTCTGTAATTCACGGTAGTTGCTAAGTTTAGAGTAAGATGTAGGCAGATTTTGTCCTCCAATGGTGTGGTATGTTTCGGGAAGACAACATGGAAAGTTTTGACATCGTATTGTTTTAGTTGTTCCGAACATACAACTTGTGCATGGGTCCATGGTGTTGATTGAAGCGGTAGAAACAGTCGACGTTAAAGACGAACCAGGAAAAATGGACGGTAGATAGGACACCGCTGTATTTTTGGCTTCAGTTTTATCCAACTCTTCTTCGAGTAACCGCTTCTCTTTTGATAACTGTTTGAAATGTAGTTTTTGATTTTGATGGATACGGTGAATTTTATCTTGAAGTAAACTTTTTGCTACCATGTTTCTTTTCCTGGCTTTCATGATGGCTTCATGTCTCCGTCTCTGTTTACTGATTTCCATGTCCCCAGAGACAACGGAGACCGAGGAAACAGCTGAACTAGGTGGGGAGCTGAAAAAAGAAGATGATTGAGAATAAAGAAACTAAGCTTGGGGTCGAAAATGGGAAAAGTTTGTGATGAACTATAAGAAAAAAAAGGTAAGCTGAAATGACAACGACGCAATGAGGAAGAGTTCTGAAGTCACGAACTATAAAAAGTAATCTGATTAGAATACCTGTATTTCAATCAGATTGCATAACAAGTAAATGGCTGCATGCTGTTAACTGTAAATCATTTATAAAGCAAACAAGTTTAGAAACCGTTATTAAGATATTTCTTTTTGGTTTAATGGACTCGATGTTATTCATATACTTTTGTAATATGTTGTCCAAACATTGCGTCTTGTTCTTGTTGGGATTAAATTCGATTCGCTCAGTAAAAAAATCAAAATGCTACTTTTATTTTTTCTGCATTAAAGTACTGTACACATTTATTCTGGAGATTACAACAGATCGTGTTTTCCGACGCATCTGTATATGAAATTCTTCAGTATATGGAATCTACTTTTATTTTGCTTACAATAACTGGGATTATTTTTGGTACGGTATTAATAACTATTATTTATCATTATTTTTCCTGTACCTATGCCGTTGTCTATATATATCTATAAACAAGTCTAAATTGAAAACAACGTTCAAACCTATGATTGCGTTGGATAAAAACCGCAATTTTTATACGTGTGCATGCAAAACAAATTTCTTAGTAGAGGGGTCTAAATACAACACAAACAACATTTTCCAAAAGACCAAATGAGTGAAAAAGTATAGTTTAACAAAACGCATTTGCCGGACTAGCAGGTCGAACAACTGATGTTCTTAAACCCTGCTGACTGCCATTGGCGGTTGCCAAATAAACGGATCACAAGATGTAAAAAAATAGATCTTATCATTAATTTATTACCAAACAGAAAACAATAAACTTGCGGAAAAGATGGTATACCGCAAACATGAGGTGCAAAAATTTGTACACCATATCCGGATTTCGACAATTAATGTCTCTTCAGTGATGTTAGGAATCGAAATCTATCTATATATATATATATATATAGATAAATATCGGTGTCATAAAGTAAAGTGGTCCTTTTTTAACTTGTAAATCAGTTACATTTTTATGTACGTTTTGTTGTTCAAGATTTTAGAAGGGGGATCTGTTTTGTTTTGGTTTTTTTTTCTTTGTGGGTATTTGGTGTTGACTGCGACTGCTATAACATAGTCTCAGGTGTTGATGACAGATTTTTTATAGTCTCTGTTAAATTTATTCAGACTCCGATTAAGATATTGACCTAATGCATAGACATTTGTCCATTTTATAGACCGTATGTTGAATTCTTCATGTCGTTTGTGTTTGTTTTTTTGTTTTTGATGGTCTTTGGGTTTCTGTATCATCGACAGTTACCCCATATCTCATTTTGATAACATTGCGACTTCCTCTTTAATTTGCTAGACAAGAATTATCTACATTTGAACCTTAAAACTATTTTATTCCTAAAGGGACCAATATTCTATCTTCTTGAGAGCTGTTTCTAAACACCATCAGGCAAAGTTGACCTAAGATGAATTTGGCTTGCATTCTTTTTAGGCCCGTTTTGTGATATAGCTCCTCACGTATCCATTACTTATGCATACTAGGTTTTCAACTGTTGGTCTTGAGCGTACATAATGAAGGTAAATCCAGAAAACACTTCGGATGCAACAAATTTATAAATTGCTATTTCCATTTTGCTTTCTAAATGTCTAAATGATCTGTCCGTTTAAGGAACTTTGCTATTTCGAATTATAAGACGCTGTATACAATTAACGAGTTATAGCTGGTGACAAGAATAAGGTTAATTGTCATATTTGAAGGGAAGTTTATCGTTAACATGTACAGATTATAAAACAGGATAAAATATAATATCAAATTGACTTACTCATGTTGCAGTTTACCCCTGGAATTCATTTCAGTTTGTATAGTTGATCGAGTAGTGAATGTATGTATATAATATATATGTTTTTGTTCGAGTGTGACAGTTACATACATTAACAACAATTAAAAAATTAGATTGATTGTCATTTTGTTTACACAAAATAATTAGTTATTATGAATGTTTACATAGTGTAAAACCCTGACGGTAAAGACGTGTATTGGACTGTAAAAGAAATGGTTTAATGTTATTTTGTTTGTATTGTTTCCGACCTCACGTGACGGTCTTTGATCTTATTATGTAAAGGCAACCATTGAACAAATAATCTTATCTAATATGTTTGCAGCAAAATCAAGATAAAGATTTGTACACAAAACAACTGATGTGCTTTGTTGGTGATTAACGATGACTGTTGTGTGTCCGTAATTCCTATGTATTATGTAATCTTTCATTTAATCATACACTGATTGTCTAAAAATCTGAAAGATGTTGCTTCTGCATGGTCGAACAACTCGGCATTTGTATTCGAGTTCTATGGATTACTTCGTCCACACCTAATACACATTGTATAGAATGCATCGTCAAAACTTAAATTAACTTCGGAGATGGATTAACACATGTTTACTGGTATATAGTATCGATCTGATGAGTTAAGCCCTTTTCAACTGATTTTTATAGTTTGTTTAAATGTTGCACTGTTACACTACTGTCCCAGGTTAGGGGACGGTTGGGCATTCTGTATGTGCCTGTCCCAAGTCAGGAGCCTGTCATTCAGTGGTTGTCGTTTGTTGCTGTACATGTATATCATATATGTATTTCGTTCATTGTATTTACATAAATCATAAAGTCTCGTTTAAATTGTTTTGCATTTGTTATTTCAGTGCCTTTTATATCTGAATATGCTGTGTGGGTTTTGCTCATTGTTGAAGGCCGTACGTTGACCTATAGTTGTTAACTGCTATTTCATTTGGTATCTGGTGGAGAGTTGTCTCATTGGCAATTATACCACATCTTCTTATATATTAAATTCTGATTTTTATTCTGATTTTTCCTTTAGCAGAATTGAAAAAATGCTTATTCTTCTTTATATACAAATTAAACAACCGTAGCTCTTTTCACAAACAAATCTTATACCTAAAAATTCTCATATAAAAGTTATATTGAAATGTTTATGACTCCAATGCGAGTATTTTTCTCTTTCTCGTAAGATATGTTGATATTAATCGCTAAATAGCAGACTTGATTTTTTTGTTTAGAACAGGTATGATGGAAAAGGTTCTTTTTTTAGCAGAAATCAACAGAATACATGAGTAACCTTATACAGTTTAAGTTTTTAACATCAAAGTTAAGACGCCCTCTTTAGATTCTGTCCTGAACCAGGTTAGAGTAAATGTTTCGAATTCACGAAGATGATAAATAAGTCGTACTACAATCTTGTCTCATTCTATTTCTAGTTTAATTAAATTGATGTGGGCAAAACGTCCAGTGGAAAATATTCAGGACAAGAGCCAACTCAATAATTGATCAAATAAGCAAGTTCTTCCAAGTGAGTTTACTGCTGAGGTTTACCGGAATGATGGACTGGAAATCAAGACTGGCACTGGTAAATAAAGGATGCTTAGTATGTTGGATAGGACCAATTGTCCAATACAATTATCTTGCAACAGTTCACCTACGGACCCCTCAAATGAGTTATTGTAAGGGTTTCTTCTCGTGCAGAGAGCGCTGCACTCTCTCTACACTACGTATCGGATTTAATATCCTAAGAACATCTTCAAAATAAGACAGAATAACAAGATTTCAGTCTAGTATGGCCAAATTTTTCACTCGTCCGATTTAATTTATCTCTAACATGTGAGTGCTTGATAAAATGACAATAAAAAAAAACAAAAAAAAAAAACAACTGACATAACCCTTGGTGAACCTTAGGGCAAAACTGCTAAAAATTTCAAAGAAGTTTTCATTTTCATTATCAACTAATTCAGTTATTGTTATTTACATATTGCAAATAATTCAGTTTTCGTTACTTTCACATTACCAATAATTCATTGTTCGTTCCATGACGTGAACAAATTACACATATTTAATGCAAATATTGTGAAAATGAAATGTGTATATAAAATTTACTGCTGTCACAAGACTCTTAACTGTATAATCTATCTGAAATCCCACAAGAAAAAACATCGGTTAAAGTCTTTCTAAATAACATGATAGAAGATCAAATTACGTTGATTGAATTAGTTTTGAACTAACTAAACAGTAAAGTTAAAATTGTTTAAATTATTAAAATATTAAAAAAATAATAATAAATTTATAAGGTAAAAAAGAGTCGTAAATACATGAAATTATCGGATGAAACATTTTTTTCAATTGTTTCAATGGTTTTCAGATGCAGAATTGAATTAAGTTTTCAAAGGCGGCTTTGAGAAGCACAAAAATGCAAATTATTGAAAGTTAAGGAAAAGGCAGAATGGAAGAGAGAAAAAAAATATAATTGACACTTACCACTTCAAACGCTAGGTTTTCTTTTATAAACTCACCTGTATATAGGGGCTCTATTAAAGATGTTTTATCAATAATTTATCATCTATTTAACGATGTTTTTGTTATTTCAGTTAAATACACATACTCTTAAATAATAAGGTATTAAAATAAGTTTCTTACAAAATGTTGAAAAATGATAAAGACCTATTGATCAATTGGTAGAAAAATAATCATCATCTTGGGGATCACGATGTCAAGTAATTTATAATTTAATTGAAGTCTTCGGTATGAAAAATGTCTTTATGCACTGTATAGGGACTTCATTTAATTCATTTTAATACTGTCTGCGTGTTGTATAACTACGCTATCCCACGGAGTATTAACTTCCTATATCCGTTTGGCTTGTTACTTCCACTATAATTAATTTAAAGAAAGTAAGCCACAGTGTACTGAAGTATTAAAACTATTTTGTACCGCTTCACCGTTATCAAATTAGAAAATAAATTAGAAATTAGTGAATACTAGTTTGCACCGGCCAAAATACATGCAACCTATATTCTATATATGAGTTATATGAAAATAAGAAGATGGCGCATGATTGCCAATGAGACAAGACTCCACCAGAGACCAAAATACGTAGAAGTTAACAACTATATAGGTCACCTTCAACAAAGACCCAAACCCATATCGCACGAAAAGCTATATAGAAGGCCCCGAAAAGACAAATGTATTTAACAATTCAAAAGAGTAAACTAACGGCCTGATTTATGTACAAATCAATAAACGAAAAACAAATATGATATACAGCCCCAAACGACAGCCACTGAATTACAGGCTCCTGACTTGGGGAATGCATATGCAGAATGTGGTGGGGTTAAACTTATTTGCTGGCGCCAAACCATCCCCTTAACATGGGACAATGGTGTAACAGTACAATATAAGAACACAATATAAAATCAGTTGAAAAGGGCTTAACTCATCAGAACGATACAAAGCCGAACAAAAAAATCTAACAAAAACACAAAAGACAAAAAGAACAGATCTAAGATTTACTGAAAGCTAGTTTAAAGCCAATAACAACTGATAACAAATGTATATACTAACATTTCAACCAGTGCGCATCCAACATCCAATGGATTTAGTGTAAAAGACAGCATTAAAGTATCTGTTTATAAATAAAGAGGACAGTGTTCTCAACCTCCCAGTCGTTCCGTTGGATGATATTGTCGAGCATTTGTTTTTTTCAGTTTTTATGCATATTCATCGTTTTAAATCTGTAATTTTGTTATTACTTTTTTTTATATCTATATAGCCAAGTTGGTCTATCCCGATCTCTATGCTTCTTATATAGAGAAGTAAAGACATTTGCTGCTTTTTCTAAAGAGCTTTAAGTTGAGGGTTGCTGGTTTTATATTGACACGTCTGTGTTTAATGTAGAGAAGACATGACATTATTTTGTCTTACATATTGATGCATCTATAAACACACTGTTTAACGTTAAGTTTAGAATGACAAATTAAACCTGATGTTTTTACCTACTTAACATGTAAATGATTTCATCTATCGTTGATATTAAATATCAACGAAAGATGAAATCATTTACATGTAAAGCAGGTAAAAAAATCATCAGGTTTAATTTGTTTTGTCAAAACAATATGCATCTAATAAACTATGAATACTTGCTAGTTTTAAGTTCATCAAAGCCAAAATGATCTGAGACTCATGTCCTGAGTTCGAACTCTTTCATGATTGGCAGGGGTTGAGTTTGATAAAATATGCCAAAATGAAAATAAAATACAAAACTTAAAAACCGGGCCTCGGATCCTGTTACAAAAGCAATAGAGATAGATACAATTGTCGTTTTTTTAACTTGTTGCTCTTTTGTATTTTTGAAAATAGATGATGAATTTCAGTTGTGAATTTAAACTGCTTGCATGACAAGAGGAGAACGTGAACTCTTACCTTGACATCGTGGTAGAGAGTATGTCATCGTATCGTGTTCGTAGGCTGTGTTGGGACGTTTTCGTTGTCAAGTACTTACTTGTTACGTCACTTTATAGAGTTTTAAGATATAGATGAATATGTTTGAACAAATGAATTCAACAGTGGTCTGATATGTTCTCTATCATATTCACATCCGGTTTAGATTTTGGTGGGACACTAGCAATTTTTTTCCAAAGCGTAGTAATTGAGGAATACCAAAAACGAACAAATTGCGATAGAAAAGCAACATTGTTTTTCTTCAGTTCTATAAATTAAATAAAGATAAGAATATGTGTTTAAAATACAATGGGTAAGCGTATTAACGCTTATTCATTGTGTCTTGTACTTAAACTATTGTTTTGGCGGCTAATCCCAATTACAGTTATTTTCTTAATTATTCCTTATTATTTGTTATAGTTTGAATAGGGCTCGGCCTCCACTTCATTCTTTTCAATAGTATAATAATTCAATTAGATATATACAGTTATAATAGATCAAAATTGTATGAAATTACAGTATAAGAAATATGATTCAGAAATTTACCCTTTTGTTGACAAATTAACGCACAATCGAACTCCTTTCCCAGTTAAACAAAATAGTCCTGATAGAAAATAATTTTAATCCACTTCTCAATTTACATTTATATCTTATACGAAATATGTCA